CGACGTGCACTCGACCCACCGGCTATCGACCACTTAACATCCCGTACAACCGGTGAACGTATCTTTGATACTGATGTCCTTGTAAGGCTGCTCTGCACGAGGATGTTCATGAACCGGCCTCTTTGGTTAACGAGCCTGACAGCTCCAGTCTTCTCCCCTGCCCCCAGAAGGGGCACAACCTCAACCGGAGATGGCTTCTGGTGGTCAAAGTGTGGCACCTGGCGACATGATGCAGCAACTAGACGGTCCACAAGTCCAAAGTTCATGTGCTAGAGCATCTCCCGTCGACAATGAACAAGCCGGAAGCACCGGCAGCGCAACCGATCCTGCCACCAGGGAAGAGGACATTCATTTCCGCATATGCGAGGAAATGTCACGCCCTAGGCAAATCGCCGTCTCTCCTTCGCCACAGTCCCATAATACGGACCGGCACGAGGTGATTGAGCTGCATGAGGGGGTGAATCCGATGACCATCCTGGGAGAAGCCCTGGCTCGGCAACACCCTAACCGCTTCGTCAGAGTCATAGTCGAGGACTGCAGCTCCAAGCCCTGTCCGCGCCAGTACATTGCTGGTTTCGACTACGCAGACGTGGTGTATCTGGAGACCAAAGGTGGCCTCAGCTTGCCACCTCGACACATTCGGTGAGTCTCTTGCCAGCCTCACGTCCGGTGTGCTGCCCTGACTCGGCGGACTAGGGACGAACTGCTCCGGTTGTACTTTGCCTATATCTACCCTTATGCCCCGATTCTCGACCGGGTCAAATTTATGCAGGATTACAGGGCCGACCGACACTCCATATTTGTCCTGCAATCGATCTTCGCAAATGTCGTCCCGTATGCTCCCGAGCAGCTCTTGAAGCAGGCTGGATACGAGGATCGCATCACGGCGCAAAAACAACTCTACGCGAAGGCCGCCCTCCTTTACGACATGAGATATGAGAAAAACCAACTGTATCTGCTGCAGGGCTCGATCATGCTTAGCTCCTTGTCCTTTTCGTATGCGATCGACAAAGACTATCGATATTGGCTTACCAATGCCGGGCGGATTGCCACTCAAATGGGACTCCACAGGAATTATGTTTCCCAGAATCTCGGACGGCGCTCCAAAAGACTCTTCCGCAGCATTTGGTGGGTGCTGTACAATCGCGATACGCTGTTGACCATCTCTGGAATCGACAACCTCAAGAGATTCGATGAGCGGTACTGTGACACGGCCCCCTTGGAAGAATCGGACTGGGAGGAGGAAGGAGAAGTTCCCCCCGAATTTCGAAACGTGCTCTCGCCGATAACGCGGGTGCAAAAGGCCTTCATGGTGGAGTATAGCAAGTTGTCGATCGTCAGTAAGCAAATCTTCTAGCCGTACAGAGGCCGAAGAGTGTGGACAACCGAGCTGACGGAACGGTCGTTGCTAGGCGGGGTTTTTATTCGAGACTTCAAAACGCCGGCGAAAACACCGACCCCGGACGAGATTGAACAGTTGAGCAACAAGATCATCGCCTGGCGGAAGCAGCTACCCGTCGAGATCATCCACGCATTCCAGGACGAGTGGACGTCCGACAACGTCCTCATCTTGGTCCTGTTGGCGATGGGATATCGTCTGGAGGCGGTTTTCGCGCGGGCGGCCAAGGACCACTACCGCACGAGAGGAGACCTTGGCTCGATGCAACGGATGACGCAGCGGCAAGAGAACGCCATGTTCGAGTTGTCCACCATGATCCAACGCGCCTCCCTGAACGACGTTCTTCATTTATGCCCTTTGTCCTTGTAAGTAGCCCAACGCCCTGTTCCTGATTCGTTGTTTCTCTCTGCCAACAAACCCCAAACCCCTCCCTATACCACATCATCCACTGATGACAGGCACCTCTACAATAAACAGTATGACCTGTGCCTCGACCATTCTTGCCATGCGGATCGAGATCGCGCTCGACCCCGCCACGAGCCCGCACAAGCAACGCGCCACCAAGGCCCAGATCTTCTCCGAACTCGAGTACGTGCGCGAGAGCTGCAAGTACTGGAACAGCCTCATCTGGACGGTGCGGATGTTCGAGGCCGTCATCGCACGGACTCGGCTCGGCTCGACGGACGCCTCGCCAAACGCTTCCTCAGAAGCGGACGAGGACACGCCGTCGGTCAACCACGTTCCCGGCCACGGCTCCGACTCGTCGTGTCGCCGCGCGGAGCAACCCGCCAACGACCTGTTCGAGGGAGGCAGGGACATGGACTCCGGGGCGAACGTGACCGACGACGTCTTTGGTATCTTACCCGTCACCGATGACTATGACTGGCTCGAGGGTCTCTTTGGCGCCAGCCGCCGTGACGGGACGGATCCGTCGGGTCTTTTTTGACGGGGAAGGGGGGCGGAGCAGCACTCGATCCGAAGATATATTTTATTTTGTTTCTATATCTGCAATGATGAACTAATGAACCCTATTACGGCTGAAGCTCCCAAATATCAGTTTATTTACTAGGTGAAGCTGGTTCAGTACACCGGGTTTGGAAACGATTGAGGCTGCTTGTCCTCGTCGTTCAGCAACCCATAGTACCACGTGAGATCCCGGCCATCGAACTCGCGGGTGTCGAACCCGTTGCCCAAGAAGTTGAAGCGGTTGGAGGACAGGTAGTCGAGGTCGAAATCCTCCCACCGGGGCTTCTGGAGGATGGTGAGGTAGTGCACGCGCGACCCGGGCCAGCACAGGGGTTTGTTCGAGGGAATCCCGTTCTTGAACCAGGAGCTGCACGGGCCCGACCAGGCCGTCCGCTTCAGATACAAATCGGCGTGCCGGGTGAATTCCTCGGCCGTCGCGCGGTTCACGCGCAGGCTCTTGATGTCCTCGACCTGGACCTTTTGCAACACCTGGATGATGTAGTTGGTGTACGCCTCCACCATTGGTATGACCGACCCGTGGCCCAGTGGGCCGTACGGGCCGATGAAGACGAAATAATTGGGCACCGACGGCACCGACAACCCCAGATACCCGACTATATCGCCCGTCTCGAACTCTTCTTGAATATTCTTACCGTCGACCATCATGGGGAAAGTAGGACGGAAGCTCGTGTCGAAACCGGTGGCGCAGATCACAACGTCGACCTCGCGTGCGTTGCCTTGGCCATCGACAAACCCATTCCGGGTCACTTCTTGGATTTCCTCTGTTAAGACAGTGGTCTTGTCCAGCGTCAAGGCTTCTAGGAACCCGTTGCCCGGCGTGGGGCGTCGACAGCCGACCCCAAAATTGCTCGGAATCAACTTGTCCATAAGCTCCGGCTTCTTTGCCAGTTTCCGCCGCATTTCCTGGATGGAGTACTCTCGGGCCTCCTTCGCGTCCTGGGAGCCGTTGATGTAGAACTTGAAGCGGATGTTCAGCTCGGATTCGATGGCCTTGCAGTAGGCCAGGTAGAAGTCGGGCTCGTCGCGGAATTTCTGCTGGGTCTCCTTTGAGTAGGCAAAGTTTTCGCCGTTCGGTCCCGCGTACGTGGGAGCAAAGCCCGCGGTGACCCAGATGGGCGATCGAGCCACCACGTAGAGCTGGTCGACTTTGTCGATAATGGTGGGCACCACCTGGACGCTGGAGCTCCCGGCCCCGATGACCAAGACCCTTTTGTTCTGCAGGTCGGCCTGCTGATCCCAGCGCGCCGTGTGCAGGAGAGTGCCCTGGAAGTCGTGGAGGCCTTTGATCTGGGGCCACCTCCAGGAGTTGAGCACGCCACCCCCGTGGAGGAAGAAGTCGGCGTAGTCGACGAAGACATCGGCGGGGTCCTGGTTGCGCATCACGCTCACCTTCCACTTCCCCGGCTCCTGGAGCCACTCGGCGTGCACGATCTTGTGATCGAGACGCGCGTACTTGAGCACGTCGTAGTCCTCGGCGATCTTACGGAAGTAGTCGTAGATCTGCTGGGAGCCAGAGTAATACCGCTCCCAGTCCGGCGACTTTGCCCAGCTGTACTGGTAGCAGACACTGGGAATATCACATGCGCACCCGGGGTATCTGTTTTCCAGCCAGGTGCCTCCGATGTCATGATTCTTCTCATAGATGACCAGCTCGACGTCCGTCATACGCTGTGAGAGGTGGTGGGCAAAGTTGATCCCGCTGCAACCCATGCCCATGAAGATGATTTTCAATTTCCGTCGGGTTCCCATAGGAGTCTCCCGGATCTTGTAGTCCGCGTCTCCGTTGATTTGGCCATCCTGTGGCTTTGGCAGATCAGGGGTCGAGGAATGGAGCGGTGTGGGCACGAGACGAGGGCTCAGAGCGGGCTTGGATTTTCCGAATGCTTCGTCTCGTATGTCGGCAGCTGGGGGTGCCTCTGCGACAGAAGGGGCCATCTTTCGACACACGTACAATCCTGAGTAAGTGGCAGAGATGCTAATATTGATAGCCTGAGCTCTTGTTACTAAAGGGGGAAGAAAATGGACCAGGGCTGGAGCTTGTGATATACAAGCCTAGCATCACAATTCGGCTTGCGAGGGGAGCAGTAAATCGGCGACAGTGAACTGAAGATCAAACAACATGTGCGAGCAAATAGCACTAGATTACGTCCTGCTCGGTGCTTCTGTGCCTCCTCGTATGACAATAGCGGCGAGGCGTGCGTGATGTTGGGAGAAGACGGCTCGTCCACAGCCCGTTGAACCCCCTTTTGGCCGAGCTTTCTGTTCTCGGTCCGGTTGGGCTTCGGTCTCCTGGTTGACCGGCACGCCGCGTTTTCTGCAGAACCCCCAAATCATCATCGTTATTGCTCCTTCGAGCCATCCTTTTGTTGAGGGGTCTTATTGGAGTAAGGAATGAAGATGGATTGCCTGTTGCCTCGGCCACGGTGCCGAATGCACTCGTCCTTTGAAGGGGTTGCTAGTAAGCTAGGCCGCTCGGTTAGCTTCATACCTCGAAGGCAAAAATGGCACTGATCATATGTGTTTGGATTTGGGAACAATATTAGCTCGCCCGTTGCACGCTAAACTATAGATGATTGTGCTTCGAGTCTGTAGATGGAGGAAACAAAAATCCTATTTAGTATTCACCAACTTCTTGGTTCTCGCCTGTTCGATTGTCTTTTCCGCCGCCGAAGACTCCCTTCAACGACCCCAGGAAGAAATGCCAGTTGATGGCACTGTCCGTTGTGGCCTAGTCTAGAGTTTTGCGGAACTATCGATTGTTGTATTCTGTAACAGCCGCCTCATAACTTTGCCGCTTGGAGTGCGAGGTATTTGATCGATAAAACGTACTCCCGCTGTCAGCCATTTGTGCTTCGAAAGCTTGGTCTCAACATAATCTTGGACTTCCTTTGCCGTCACTGTAGATCTCGGTGCCTTGACCACAAACGCTTTGGGGTACTCGCCGTCTCGTCTAGACTCAATCAGATATTTCCCCTAGAACTGAGATCTGGCTGCGGGGAGCTTGGATTGCTTACCTCCTTTCACCAACCACTGCAGCATCGGCAATGCCCGGATGGGTCAAAAGCGTCTGCTCGATTTCCGCAGGAGCGACTTGAAGTCCCTTGACCTTGATAAGTTCCTTGAATCATATTGTTATCAGCTTGATCGCCACGAGGATCTTCCAAATTTACCTTTAATCGATCGACAATGTATATGCAACCCCGATTGTCGATATAGCCAACATCGCCTGTCTTCAGCCACCTGGTGCCATCTTCGTGGACAATGATTTCCATGGTTTCTCGGGGCTTTTTATAGTAGCCTTTCATGACGTTCGGCCCCGATATCCATATTTCACCCACCGTATATGGCATTTCCTCAGGCTGCTCGAAGCCATCCTCTGGGACCGGCACGATCTTGGCCGATACATTGGGGTTGAGCCAACCAACCGACCGACCGTCGTCGTCGTCGTCTTGAGCAAACCCCGATGCCGAGCACGTCGTCTCGGTCAAACCCCAGCCTTGCTTCACCCGCACACCCGGCCGTAAATGAGTCTTTTCGACCAGTCTGCCTAGTTCTGGATTCAACGGCGCAGACCCCGTGACAACTGACTCGATTGACTTCAAGTTATACGACCTCGCATTCGGGTGCTTTGACAGGGCCACCATCAGAGTCGGAACTCCGGTCAAGAAGTTGATGCGATAGATGTCGAGGAACAACAGGTATCTCTCGATGCTGTATTTCATCATAATGAAGACCTTGACACCAAGTCGCGCCGCCGTCACACAGTAATACATTTGACCCTAGCTTGTCTGTGAGTCTGAGCGTGTTCCGTTCCGGTGGAAGACATTGTAGAGAGGCTCACATAGGCGTGGAACATAGGGAGAGGAGCCAACCACCGCTCACCGGAGAGGTCGATTCGTGCTTTCCGCTCCCGTGCGCATGGCGTGTTGGCCACCATGTTCCGTTTGAATATGACCTGGAGGGAGTTCGCAATGACATTCTGATGTGAGATCTCGACGCCTTTGGGTGTTCCAGTTGTCCTGCTCCAGTCAGTACCTGGTAGCAATCCAATATGAAGACCATGATTTCGATCCGCAACATACCCACTAGAGTAGTTGATTGCAACAGTAGTCTCTCGAGCTTCCTTGGCGGAGGATATGGGTTTCCAAGTCCATGTGGCGCTTTCGTTTTCGGCTGCCCAGATGTCGGTCCAGGATGGTAGGCCACTTTGAGTGCTTTTGTCTTCAGGGTCGGCGAATTCGAACACTCTGCCTTTCGGGATGCCCACTTGCGAAGCAGCTTCCAATGCTGTAGTGATCCCGGCAGAGCTTGCAATGATTAACTTCGCATCCGAGTCCTTCAATTGGTAGATGAGTTCTGAGCACGTTAGCTCCAGTCGCTCAAAGAAAGTCTCGTTGAATCCGAATTTATACCTGCAACAGAAGCACTTGGACTACAGCCAGTGAACACGCACCCCGCCGCCACTGTGCCCCAGTAGAGAATAGGGAAATACAGCGAGTTCCCTGAATAGAGCAACACCTTGTCGTTCGGTCGAAGGCCAAGGTTCTGTAGTCCTTTACCAAGCCTCTTGACGAGAAGCTCCGCCTGGTTTAGACTGAAGCAGCGATGGGGGCGATCTGCATCAAAGAATTGTGGCTGGGAACGCTGCTCATGGTCTCCGGACGAGAATATGAACGTCGTCAGGTCAATTGGTGGAATGTCGACCTTGTATTTCGAATCGTGCCGGATCGCCATGGGCATGCGTTACTCCTGAAGGTCCTGGTATCAAAGTTCCAGAGACCACCGACCCGCGCCAACAAGCTGTCTAGCACTAGGATAGTCATGCTAACAGTCACGGGCGTAACCACCCAATCTTATACACGGAGACTTTTCGTGTCAAAACCAGAAGCCCAGAAAACATGGCTCAAGATAGTCCTTGTTCGGATTGGCGGCCTCGGCTGCCTACCACTCGGCGCCGCATTGTTTCGATGCAAGAGTAATTTCACCCCGTTGTCCAATTGAAACTAGTCCACGCTTTGTGGGCTCGCGTCACAAAGGCGATTTCACAATAGAACTCTGAGAATCATGTATTTTTTAACCCTTGTGAGGGGACGCGGGAGTTCTGACAGAGTGCTAAAAGCTTTGGTAGAGTACCGAGTACACAACCATCAAGCATCCACGGGCAGACGAAGGAGAAAGCGACCAGTGACGCGGTTGCTGCCCTTTGGCTACGACTCACTACCCATCCTACAAAAACCAGTACTACTTCTTGACAACTTCAGTCATTAAATCTTCAGGCCACCATGCCTCGTCCACTCCGTTGCCCCGGGTTCCAACATTGTATCCCAAACGCACCGTCCCCGGTGGGAACTGCAGAACCGGTCTGGGGCTTCGAAACAGGAGTCCCCCCAAGGCCCCAGAAGCCCTTTTCTCAAAGAAGTCGGGGTTGAGGACTGTCTTATCCTTCCTCATCATCTCGATGTAGCGCGGAATAGTATAGTTCATGCTGTGGTAGTGTCGAAACACTGGTCTGCCGTTTCTTGTCCAGACGTCCTCCCAAACATCCGGCGGATACTCCCCTACCGTAAGGGCAAGCCACTGGTTGTAGTAATTGAGTGAGGTGTCGACCAAGTACGAGCCACCATGGACTGCTCGCTCTATGAGTGCATGCAGCGCACCACATGTCCCGATGATGCCAGTACAGTAGTCAGAATTGGGAAAGACGGGGGTGACGGCCTCGTCGTGGCCCATGGCGCGTCCGTAGCCCATAGACACGCCGGTATGGGCGTCGCTGATCGGCTGCCATCCACTCCGGTGTGAAAGGGGGCCGTCCCACCCGAAACAATTCTCGCGGATGTAAATAATGCCCCGTTCCCTGCCCTTGACCATATCGAATACCTGGTCTTGGCCAAACCCGTATTTGGCCAGGACATCAGGTCGGTAGCCGTTGACGACGATGTCCGCCTCCAGAATGAGATTCTTGAGCTTCAGTCTGTTCTCCTCTTTCCGCAGGTCCAGGTCGCAGTTCCACTTGCCCCAGTTGAGATCAGGCTGTAGGCCCGAAAAGTCTGGGAGGTGAGAGGCGGTGACTCTCATCACGCTGGCACCGAGCTCCGCCAGACCCCGCCCGATCGCAGGCCCTGCAATCACCCTTGTCAGGTCGACAACCTTGAGACCGCCGAGTGGTCGCTGCGGGCTGGTAAAGCTGGTCGACGGCCACCACCCAGCCACCTGGCTAGACCCTCCGTGCTTGGTGAGACGATACAAGTCAACCACGGAATTTGCTTTTCCCTGGGGGCTCCTGGCGTATTCCTCGGGGCTTAAGCAAATGGTTGCTGCCTGCCGATAAGTTTCTCCGAGGACCTTATCCCACTCTTCTGCGGTTTTCTCCTTCATGACTTCGATAAATGGCTTCCACGAGTCCTCGATTGTCACTATTTCAGACATGTCTCTGGGCAGACCAGCTGCCTCCAGCGACGGATCCGGGTTGAGGCTGCCATGAATGTGGAACCAACGGTCATCCTTCGTCTTGTAGATATTGTAGGCTGCTCGACGGTATAACGTCGACGCCATCTGGTGGAGATCGCAGTTTGGAAAGTATCTTGCATACTTTTCCGTGAGGTCGCGAATTGGCGTGGGTGAAATTGGAGCAGAGAAATCTGGATCAATCTCTAGAACTATAGATGACATGAAAAACAGCTGTGCATGATCGGTGTTGATGGTGATTTCTTTGGGCGACTCGTTGTACTTCCTCCCCAATAGTGCATTGATCATGACCGCCTCAAAGCCTTTCAAGGAGGCCACACTTTCCGCAAGCCTCCAGTTAATGGGAATGCAAGGTACTGCTGAGCCCTCAAATTTGACATATCGGGCCAATTCTTCGCACTCTGGAGGTAAGGATTGCTGCAGCCGGGATCGCAAAATCTCGCGCTCGAGCAAAGATTTGCATTCCTCTGGGACTGAGTATAGTTGCGACGGATCGACTTTCATCGTGGCTATTGCGACGGTGACATGTTCCCGGTAGAAAATGTGACTGTGTCCAATATATGTGCATGGGTATATAGTATGCTTTGGGAAGGCAGTCGCAAACGGCCTCCAGAATACGCCAATTTAGACCAGACACTTGCCGATGTAAGCAGGGCCGAAGCCAATCCCCACCCCCATGTGCCTCCCAGCAAGCCGACACATTCCTCCCTGAATCGAGGCCGAGAGCAGCTCGGCGAACGAGACGCAATGCCAGCTCGCTCGGCTAATTGCAGATTAACTCGCCGGGCTTTCTTCACGGCAGATCTGTCCCTATTTTTAAGGTCCTTGGAACCCTGCGAAGAGATTGGGTATAGCTGGCCTATCTAGGTCGTTGGGTGATTGTCATTCCTCGCTTGTTATTCTGTCGACAGAGATCGAATTCCGATGTACGCGAGCTTGGCCTCATGTTCTCGACTGCAACTAGGCAGCGCTATATACATCCATTGATAGAAAGTTGGTCTTCTGCCATATTAGCAGAGAAAGATTACTGGAAAGGGAGTCTTTTGTTGCAACAGTTTCCGAGATCATAGAGACATCTCCTTTCTTTCGTCTCACCGCCCTAAATTCTAATCCAAGGGGGAATTTATAAAACCGCCTCCTTTGCAAGAAACTTCTCAGGTATGTCTACATGCCGAGCCCTCAGGTACTCTGCCAGATTCTAAGATAGAGTATCAGCAGGCGAAGCTCAAGCTCAGATGCAGATGAACAATTGGTGACCTTACCTTTCCCAGCGCGTCCATCTTGACGGAGGTGCTCACACCGGCGCCTAGAAGACCGTGAATGACGAAGTGAACGGCACGGATATGCGGGAGTTCACATCGCTCGATATGCGTTTCTGCCGTTGCTTCGCGTGCCAAAAGCTCTGGTATCGTAAGGTCAGTCTTTCCTACGCTAGTACAGTCCCCAGGGCCCAATGCAGGGACGACAAAACTCACCCCGCAACCGTTCAGTCGTAAGAAGACTCCTAAGCCAGTCGTACTTTTCTGCTTCATGGATGCCTCTGGGGATGAAAAAGCCCACGTTGACATTTGCACCCTTGTCACCACTTCGAGCGTATACCGCGAGCCCGAGTGGAGCCTTGACAGTAGGCCCGAAGGCGGAAAACGGCGCCGGGTTGGCTGGCTGATAGTCTGGCTGGCCTGGAAGCAGATGTACCGGTGTGTAGACTTCATGCCCTGGAACAGCTATACCTCGTGCGTGGCCTTGAGAGACAAAGAAGACGTGTAGCTGGACGTGTTTCTGGTTGACCAGCCCCGGGAAGTACGTGGAGAGCAGTTTCGGTTCTGCCGTTCTGAAGTCCACGTTGGCCGTGAGGCCCGGATACCCAGATAATTGATTGCTCATGAGAGGACCCAAAAAGCGCCCAGAGCTCAAACATTTTGGGTCTTTTGCCTGTGCGAGGACTCGAAGCTGTAGAGTCGCTTCGAGCTGGCTTTGCGGATCCTCTTTCGGAGTTCCGTAAAGCTGGAAATCCAGGACATTGTACTGGCTGGTGTCCAGCATCTTGCGGGACATGATCTCGAAGCTCTGTGCCTTCTCCTTGGAGGCTAGCCCCGTCACGTAGAGCGAAAATTCGGCCTGATAACCGCCCAACGCCATAATTGCAACCTTCAGAGTCTCTGGGGCCGGAAGACCTACCACACGAATCAGCCTGCGAACCTGTTTCGCGCAGAACATCCGGCGGGAAGCGACAATTAAGCGGCGGGGCTATACACACCTTTGAATCCGGAGACGTGCACTCTGTCTGGGCCAATCTGCTCAACCTTGATACCAGACAGATCGGCGATTACGTCGGCGTTGTAGTAGAAAGGCCCTTGGATTTCGTAAAGAAGCTGTCCCCGGACCGTGTCCACTGTCACGCTGGTCTCGTATCAGCCGGAGCAATGCGTGCGGTGCACCAGGAAGGTTTGATATGGAGACGCACATCCCGTTCTGGTTCGAATGCTTCTGAATCACGCTAGTTCCATCCGTTCCAATCGAGGCGATCGGGAAGGATAAATCATAGTACTTTGGAAAGAGGCTCTGAAAGCCTCCGAAGTTGCCTCCAGTCTGCGTCGAGAGGTTGCTTAGCTTTGCCGATGCCCTTGGCCGATGACAACTTACGACGTAGCAGCCACATTCTATTAGATGTCCAGCGACAAGGGAGCCCGCAAGTTTGTCAACATCGGTTCGTTTCCAACCATGCCACCAGGCCGCCACCCCCATGACCTTGGAACAGCGTTTGTCAGCCCCAGACCACGCTAGAATGAGGTATTGCCTACAGTGCTTGCATCTGTGCATCGTCCACAAATGACGATGTCGGCTCCGGCCTCCAAAGCCTGGACGATCCCCCAGCAGCCAATGTAGACTAGGGCCAGGATGACATCTGGGTATTTGTGCTTCCAGCTCTGGAAGTCACCCGTCGCTCTCGTCAGGGGCTGTATGTCGAGATTGTTGATCTGGGGGAGGAGGTTGTCGCCAACAACATATGCGACTTTCCTTGGGCAACCTCGAGCCACTAGGAGCTTATGGACTTCCTCAGCGAGCCCCCTCGGATCGAGACCGCCGGCATTCACCACAATCCGAAGATTTGGGTTTCTGTAGTCCACATATTCTTGGAGGGCATCCCTCAGGGAATACAGGAATCCTGGCTCGTAGCCAGCTTTCTTGCCCGCACGAACCTGGAGCGACCTCGAAGCCAGATTGAACTGAGGAATGTGAGAAATGCAGAAGATTGGAACATGGATATGGAACAGGGTGGAAGTACCTCTGATAGCCAGTCCCCAACGATTGCATCGACTGTCGTATCCCCTGTTAGCATCGACTTCAGTCCTGAACACCGCATTAGCTGTCTTCTTGACACCCTCACCAAGCAACTCGATATGCCTCACCGTCTAATCGATCACCGGTCGAGCCTGACACGTTTCCCACCACAATTGGCCGTGACCCTTTTCCGAACACATTTGCAGCCATGCTGCCCGTCTGCTACTCGCTATCGCTGTGCTGGTCTCTTGAGGACACTGCTTGGTGAGAATATATTTAGACGCCACAGGTCTCCCCTTTCGGTCCCAGTCTGTCGTTTTACTCAATAGCAGCATTTACTCCACCTCACGGCGTACAACGCCTTCTACCTCGGCAATGTTGGCCGTCAACCTCCAAGGCCTACAGAGGCCGCTGCACCTCCTTGTACGGAGTACCTCTCCGGGTCTCGTGCCGTCTCGGCCATTGCCGATTCAACCGTGCGGCATTTCTTAGTGAGCCCGAGCAGGGTGGATGTTCCTTCCCTTGCCCTGACATTAGCGGCAGCACATTGAAGTATGGTTTCGGCCCGAGAGCCGTCAAAGCACTGCCAGAGGAATGACCTGAGCATTTCAATCTAATTAATTTAACACGGCTGCCAACCGCTGCTTTGTATTACATTTTCACTGCGCAACATGATTCTTCAGCCATTCTATGATCATGTCGTCAGTAGTTTTCCGCACGGCAGGATCAGTCAACTTTGAACCCATAGCATAAATATGGAGTTGACCCCATTCGATCGTCAGTTTGTATTCCAAGCCGGCCATTTCGCACATCAGCGCCCATTTCTCTGAATCGTATCGTGCAAATTCAGCACCTCCGGTGAGAATAAGCTGTGGGCTCAGGCCCTTAAGCTCTTCGGGCTGGCGATGGAGAGGATTAACCTCGGGGGAGTCGGGCGACCAGTTTCCGATGAAGAGCGAGACCAATGCAGGCACCGCCTTGTTGGCCATGACAAAGTAGTCGCTTTCGACGGCTGGGTTCCCTCCTACATAAGCCTTTAGAGCCATGTCGATCCAGGGAGAGATCAAAACTGTCGCAGCGGGCTGTGGTAGATTGAGCCGCTGAAGTTCGAGCCCAGCCAGTATGCAGAGTCCACCTAAACGTGGCCGTTAGCAGGAGATCCTCTGAAGTTTCTTTCTAATCGTCACCTCCAGCAGAATCTCCCATGAATACGATATTCTCGGGCACGATTTCATTGTCGAGCAGGTACTGATAGGCCTGGATGAAGGCACTCCTCTGTGCAGGGTGGCTTTCTCTGGTAGAGAGGGCTGCCGAGCACGCTTTAGCTCTCTCGGTGCGAGACAAAATACATTACCAGTTGACTCACGGTACTCGACACTGAAGAAAGCTAGATCGAGGTCTCTTTGAGCCGATTTTGCAATCCACCGCTCCATATAGTTGATATACATTCTTGCCTCACCACGCGCGTAACCTCCACCATGGGCAAACAAGACGACGCATTGTTGTTTCCCCTTGACAGATCTCGCAAATTCGGAAAGCTGTCGTGTTCCCGGAATGAGGTATGCGGGTACCTTCTCTTCCACCCGGCGAGCTCGCCGCAAGGAGAGATTTCCCACGGGTAGTCGGTGTGTCAAATCTGGAAAGGTCACAGCTGCCGCGGCGAGGTAGGCTCGTTGTATCTGGAGCCGTAGCGACTGGAAGATGGGAAAATGTGGCAGGAGTAAACGCCGCAGAAGTACGAGCGATACTTGGGACAGAAATGTATGTATGAAGAGCAGCGTCCGCAGCGGATGTCTGAGGAGCAGTAGCACGAGGTTTGCCATGATGAACGAATTGACTGACGATCCGAAATCATTGTCAGATAGAGGGACATTTTGACATTTAGAAAGTGTCTGTCTCTTTTGAGTTTGCTCCGCCAGCCGGCCTCGGTCTTGATGCGTTATCTGTGTAGCTGACACCGAAGGTATTTCGCAGCACCAGCCGTCCAGACCCTCGGCACCATTGTTGGCCGCATCTCTTGGCAGTCCGCAGCATCTATCCCTTTTCTCCAGATCCAGGAGGGCGTTGTTCATGAATCTGCCCTGGCACAAACTAGGACCTAGTCATGACGTCCGGCACAGACGCGCTCGAGCTTAGCCTCGATGGTGTCGTTCGATATACCTTGGAAGACACCGATACCGGTGAAGCCGTATTGATTGCCAAATGGGTCTCAACGCGCATCGTCACCTCTGGGAAAACCGGCACTGGTCGCGCCGTTCGAAGAAAGCGAACCGACCCCGGCGCACCTGACGCGACGTCCGACTTCGTGGGAGCGTGGACCATAGAATATTATGGGCCGGATGGCAAATTAGCAGTCATGCCCTTTCTTCTGGACCTGGAGCGGGAAGGCGAGGTATTGTCAATTCGTCCGACCAGTCCTGCACAACTCCTACGAGGTTTTCCGGAGGGAGTATATGCTGACACGCTGCTGGATAGATTTACCACGGAAGGTGGGCTGACCCTAACGGGCGGCCCTTGTTGGAAGGGTTTGGCTTCGAGGATGACGGAAAACTGTACATGAGATATGGAGACCGGCCAGCGTGAATCAACACCCGAGTATACTTACGCGTGTATGTTGCCAGCAGGCCACACCCAGAGGGACTAGGAGACTTTTAACAACTTGGTGCTGGAGGCTCTACTAATCGGATGAGAAAATGCCACTATGATTTGATACATTTGATCCGAGAACGGAATCCCGGTCAGTAGGAAAAGACACGGTCTGTCAAAGGATATAGTTTCCATTGCCTGAACCTCAATTACTGGCTCTGGCCAGACAGCTCACACAGAGAATCCAAATCGATAGGACTATTAGACGTTTCATTGAGATTCGGCTTTCACAGCCAATCGATGAGACGTGCGCAGCAAGATATCCTGAAGCTCATCCAAATACTCCCCATTCTCGTAGTCATCCTTTCCCAGGTCTAAATACCCCTGGGGCGCGGCGTCCCGGGGAACAATGCCAAAGGACCGCCCTGCAATGGAAAGCTTTAGTTCTGCACGGCATGGATAAGGATGGTGAGAAGTTCATGCTAACCATTTATCGAAGCATCAGAAGCGATCTTGAGCCACGCTCCAGCTGCGTCCGCGGCTTCGGCGAACACAATTCCTTTGCTTTTGCAATACTCTTGAACCGTGGGGCTGAGGATCGTGGTCCCCACGTACCTGTGGCGGAGAGTCAGAAAGATTACCATCCTGCTTGACTGGGGAGACCTGCCATGGGCCCGTAAGGTTCATGCGAACACCATCAACAGCCGTGGTCCTTCGAATGCATCTCATTAAACCGCGGCAACCCCATTTGGATGCCATATACTGGGGGATACCTGGGACGTCGAGGAAGCCCACGAGGCTTGCGTTCACGATTAGGCAACGATCGTGCTCTGCATCAAGAGGGTGCTTCATGAAGTAGTGGCGGGCCAGCTTGAGCGTATACATGACTCCGAGGAGGTTAATATTCACGATCTTTAGCTGAGGCTTGGCCGGTTCTTCCGTATCTGTGCTTCATTCAGATACTGTTGGCAATTGTGGATGTCACACCCCCAGTCCTGGCTCTCACCTTCGATAGTAAAAGCATCATCAGGCCCGCTGATGCCGGCATTGGCAACAACCACGTCGACAGACCTCCTGGGAGAGGCACTCGCCGCGAGCTTGAACATGGCCAGCTGGTCTTCCCAAGATGTGACATCGCAGCGGACGAATTTGGCGTTCCTAACCAGACCGTCAGCCAGATAGGTATCCCAACAACACGAGAGAACCAAGGCTGAGTTTGGAATCAAAGCCGCAAACATACGGAGCCAGTTCTGCCTCTAGCTTCGCTCCGTTCTGCTCGTCTGTGTCTCCGAATGTGACGTAGGCACTTCAAAGAGGATCGTTAGCACGCTGTGTGAAGGAGCTGGTCCAGGAATATTCGTGCCCTGCCGCGACAAATGCCCGAACTCCTTCCTCGCCCATCCCCTTTGCACCTGTTTCGAGTCCGTCAATCAAGAGTGACTCATGGTGAAGAAAACATCCGCCGAAACCCACCACCGGTGATGACGACACCCTTCCCTTCGAGGTTTGCCGGTTGAGCAGCATTCTTGCAGTCGACGACCTTCTTTTGGTACGCTGCGTAGGCCATGGTAAGCGGTTGTTTCTCGAGTCTCGGGAGGCACTGATGGAACAAAGCGAAACAGTCAAATGACGGGCATCTTTGAATGAACAAGGTCTGGCCGGCGTCCCAACAGATACTGAATTACTTGTCGGCAGAGTCGTCGGCGCCGAAGAAACCGGGGTCGAAGGTTGCATATAACCCAAGGACTCGGCCCGACCCCTGCAAGGCTGAAGGAGATATTGAAAAGGCGACCAACCGAGAACGGGAGCTTCAAGAGAGTCAAAGACGACCATTTCCTCTTGTTTTCGCATTATTGCTTGCTTCATCATGCCCACCCATTCCCCGACTCTGAATATTCCGCATTCTCTGTCCACCGTCTCTGTTTCGGTGATTGAGACAACCTCAAGAATCATTGCAAAAACCAACCTCGTCGTCCAACCACATATCCTGGGCCATGACGAGTTTAATTGTCCTTGCTACTCATTCCTCGTTGAACACAAGGGGACTGGGAAAAAGATTCTATTCGATCTAGGGATTCGAAAGGACCCCGAAAACCTGTCGCCCAGAACATACGCCTTCACCCAGGCAATGTCCATTTCCTCTAAACGGAACGTCTCGGACATCCTCGGAGACAAGGTATCCGAGATCTCTGAGATCATCTGGTCCCATCATCACTTCGATCATATTGGAGATCCGTCGTCGTTTCCGTCCTCGACCAATCTCGTCGTGGGGCCTGGTTTCAAGAACGAGTTCCTGCCGGGCTACCCTTCCAACAAGGAATCGTGGATAAAGGAGAGTGACTATGAGGGTCGCATACTTACGGAAGTGACATTCGAGAAGGCGGGCCTGAAATTGGGGCAATATGACGCAGTGGACTACTTTGGAGACGGGTCGTTCTATCTCCTCGACTGCCCTGGGCATACCATCGCTCATATCATGGGGTTGGCACGGACAACACCCGACAGCTTCGTCCTCATGGCTGCTGACTGTTGTCATCATGGCGGAGAGTTTCGACCAAATGCATACGATCCGTTGCCACAGATGGTCGATCTGCCGGCGACTGGCCACCATAAATCGCGAGCCCATCGAACACCGTGCCCCGGATCACTGTTCCTGAAGCTGCATCCCAAAAACTCACGGACGACGCCCTTCTATGAACTGATCAACCCACGTGACTCCGACACTGTCCGCGAAGCGATGAAGAGTCAACGCAAGTTGGAGGAGTTTGATGCCAGTGACGACGTGTTGGTTCTCACGGCCCACGACTCGGACGCGGCTGATATCATCGACCTGTATCCTAAGAAGATCGATGAGTGGAAAAGTAAAGACTGGAAAAGACAGCTCCAGTGGGCGTTTCTCAACGACTTCCAAGTCGAGTGACGCAGGTCGCCGTCGACGATGTCTTGTGCGTCGAGGCCGCGCTGACGTTGATGTTCAACATGTCGCGATGATTGCTTGGCTATTGAGTGTCTGTAGCGCATGACTGAGCCTGAAAATCGAGAGGTATACCTACCGATAGGATACGAAGTTCCCACGTCAGAGAAGATGAAAAATCCATTGGAAGAATGGGCTGATTACGCCGAAATCGCTGGGCGTATGTCCCTGAAATCCTTCTACAGTCGAGTATCGAGTCTGGAATATTTCTCGAAGATGCTCTTTGGTTTTATCTTTGGAAAAAGTACCCCTGGTTGAACCCCCTCCCCTGAGCCAAGGCTGTGCCTGCATCCGGCAGGGCAAGTAGCCCCGTCCAGCACGTGATTTCGTAGGATTCCCACTCGGGGTGAAAACACGCCGGAACCGAGTCGACTTCAAACGGGAAAATAGAAAGCAGGAGATTGGAAGACGGGGACGGAGGAGCCCCCAACACGGTCGAATCTTTCCCTGGTAGTTGTCGTATCCGCAAAGCTTGAAACACTCCCATGCAAGAAGACTGCTTGTTTGGGAAGGAAGAGACTTGGATATGCGAATACGATATGGTTCGTCGCGTCATTGAAGTCGCATGGTTCGTTTTGATGGGCGGCAGAAGGTTTGAGGAGATGGGAGACGAATGATGCCTAACTTGAGATCGTATTTCTTATATTCGATGTCGAGTGATTGGCTGCTCGGATGGTGGAACCTGAGCCCTCCGAATGCCCGTCCCATACGGATAGGCCTGCTGTCAGCACCCCCATTGGCAGGAGGCAAGCCTAGAAGCCCTTAGCGTGCCCAGCAAGTCCGTTGGGGGTTACGGGCGATGGGGGGTCCCTTAGCGAAGCCCACTGGGCGGCACGTAGATCTCGCCTGGGTGCTTCCCCCCTCCCCCCCAATGGTGGCATTTTCTTCAACCACCAAAAACAGCCTTGGGCTTTTGCCCTCGCAAATTTGTCCTCTACCCACCCGCTAAACAACCCCCGTACCATATCTCAGGGATCTTGTTATTATATCTCTTAAATCCGCAGACATGTCTTTCTCCATAGAGTTTCTCCCTGCCCTTTGTTGGTTCAGGGTGATTTCCTTCTTCTTTCGCGGGCCTTGTTCCTGCTTTGAGTGTTACTAGGCCTTGTTTAATACGTTCACATCATTCATTTCACATTTCGTCACTCAAGCTCGTACATACCAAACATTCCTCATCTCTCTGCTACTACTACCCACGGACATCTGCCAAACTCTTGTCCCTCACCAATTCTTGTCTAGCAGCAGAGACGGCCAGCCCTGCGAGATCAGGATCTGAAACAAGGGTAAGCACTTTCAGCTGCAAAACATCGAATCCATCCCGGGCGGCTTCATCCCATTTCCGTCCGACGGTTGCGCAGCCTTGACGGCCCCACGCAAGGACTGCTGTCAAATCCTCCCGCCTCAGAGTACATTCGGAGACCGTACCGCGCCTCGTCGTGGTGAGGCTGTCCCTGCGATGGGTCTGTTCGCGAAGAAGACAACAAACCCGGCCTCGACCACTCTCGAGCCCACCAACCAAAACAATGCCAAGTCTGAAGATACCACTGCCGTACCCAGCCAAAATGTATCAGACACAGATTCGTTGGAGAAGAGCAGAGACACAGAGACAACCGTCGTGGATGAAAAGGCGCCCGAAACCAACGAGGGGCTGCAAGATGCTGCCACAGGACCAAAGGATACCTTTGTCCCTTCGGAGAAGACGACGCACCCCCAATCGGAGACCTGGGAAAAGGCAGAAGAGGAAGTACAGATTCAGAGCGACGCAAAGAGCACAACTTCCGCGAGTGTGGTTGCTCCAGCGGGCCCGGAAGACGATGATGAAATAGTCTATCCTGGAGGACTGAAACTGGCGCTGATCACCCTTGCCCTTTGCCTGTCGGTATTCTTGGTTGCGCTCGACAACACCATTATTGCGACGGCCATCCCCAAGATTACAGATCACTTTAACTCTCTGGGCGATGTCGGGTGGTATGGGTCAAGTTACCTGCTCACGACTTGCGCTTTGCAGTTGTTCTTTGGAAAGTCGGTACCCCAGGAGATCTGACCCAAGAATACCTTTGCTAAATTTTTTCCAGGCTGTACACCTTTTACTCCATCAAGACAGTATACCTTGTCTCCATTGTCATCTTTGAGGTTGGATCGGCTGTTTGCGGTGGTGCCCCAACCTCCGATGCGCTCATCGTTGGTCGTGCGATAGCCGGTGTCGGATCCGCAGGGATTTTTAGTGGTGCTTTGGTGATCATTGCATACACTGTACCGCTGATTAAACGACCGATCTATACTGGTGTCATTGGAGCCATGTATGGAATTGCCTCGATCGCTGGTCCGTTACTGGGTGGTGCCTTTACCGACGGGCCCGGTTGGCGGTGGTGCTGTAAGTGCAAGATGGACGATGTCTAACCTAAGATGCGGCTGACGGGAAATGCAGTTTATATCAACCTTCCTCTTGGTGGTGTTACCCTCGCAGTCATCTTCTTCTTCTTCCACTCGCCCGTCCGCAAGGCCGAGGAGAAAGTACCCCTTCGAGAACGCGCCCACCAACTCGACCTAGGCGGCACTGCTCTCTTCATCCTCGACATTGTCGTCTGCCTGTTGGCCTTGCAGTGGGGCGGCTCGACATATGCTTGGTCCAACTGGCGGATCATCCTATGTCTCACGCTTTTTGGTGTCCTGACCATCATCTTCATCATCCATCAATACTACATGAAGGAATTTGCCACCATCCCTTTCAACATCATCTCGCAACGAAGCGTGGCATCTGCCTGTTGGTTCGCGTTTGCCCTTGGTGCTGCCTTTTTTGTCTTGATTTACTGGGTGCCCATCTGGTTCCAAGCCATCAAGGGTGCATCTGCCTTCAAGTCTGGAATCATGTGCTTGCCCATGGTCCTGGCACTCGTACTAGCGAACATCCTAACTGGTGTGGGCACGACCGCGATTGGTTACTACGCTCCATTCTACATTGGGTGTGTGATCTTCTCTACCATCGGGGCAGGTCTTTTAACGACGTTCGAAACCTCCACCGGCCACGAGAAATGGATTGGTTATCAAATCATATACGGCTTTGGAGTTGGTCTAGGCATGCAACAAGCTCTCATCACTGTCCAGGCCGTTCTCCCCTTGAAGGACGTGCCTACGGGCACTGCGTTGGTTATGTTCATGCAAACATTCGGCGGCGCCCTTTTCGTCTCGGTCGCCCAAAACATATTCAACAATCGGCTCATGTCGGAGATCCCCAAACAGGCACCAGGAATCAATCCTGCCATTATCTTGCACGTCGGAGCGACGAGTCTCAAGGATCACGTCCCAAAAGCGGCGCTGCACGGTGTACAGACGGCGTACAATAACTCGTTGACGCAGACATGGTATATTGCGGTGGCAATGACATGTTTGCAGATCATCGGGGCTGCGTTTGTCGAGTGGAAGAGCGTGAAGGGCATGAAGCCCGGAGGCATAGCTGCCTAGTGGGCACTGCCGACACCACCGTCCAATATTTCGAGTGAGCATTTTGCCTCGGCGTTGGTGGCGATGTTGTTCTGTGGACTCTGCATCTGTATTGTGCATTCGTCAACCATTGATATGGGGAGATGCATTGGCAAAAGTGGTTGTCAGCCCGACTTGATGTGTTGGATATGGTGCTGGGCGTGTCATATCGTGTTACGAATCCCCACTACTTCACGACTGAATAGACTAGATATAGAGATCTGTCGGGACGGGGAGTGGTCCCTGTCCGACCCTCCAAAAGCTGAAATCGTTGTCGCCAGAAGCATTGCATCGCTCCGTTCTTCAGCAAGACGAGTAGTTGACGTTGATCCATCCCTCCTCTGCCCTCAGATGTGTCCTGTTCCGTTCACAATGGGCGATGCTTGTCGGAGCGGCATGCTCGCGATCGATCGGTCACCGTGGTTGATTCCTCGCTTGCTCGATCCGACACGCAGGGAGTGTTGGAGGGGGAGGTGAGATGCCCTTTGTGACCTCCGCCTTCTCCATCAGCTCGTCCACAATCGCACAGCCACTCGTCTCTTCATCCATACCTCCATCCATCCTCCGCGGGGCTCCGTCTCCCTGATCTCCATCCAGTGCTAGACCTGGCCTTGACCATGATGTCTCGCCGTGGCTTCGACCTTGACCGGGGTCCTAATCCTGATCCTGAACAGGACCCGTTTTCCCAGACCGAGATCCACCACCCCGACAACGACCCCGACTCCATCGACCCAAGTCCGAGCCCAACCAAACCCAGTTGATCATTCAAAACACAGTGTCGATATCCCCCCTTTTCCATATCCCTCACCCGACGAACAACTCCGAATACCGTACGCGCCTCCATTCTCTTTAGATACGCTTTGCCGACGGCTCCGTGCTTTTGCCAGGGCTATTCGACGATCCGGCGGCAGGTTAGACCCGAAGGAGATGTCGCGCAGTGTCGACCCGGCTGGTGCCAGCGCCCCTTCCGTGCTTTGGTGTCATCGGATTTAGTGGGTCGAATTGCCATTCATTCTGAATGGGTATGTTTGTCCTTATTCCTTTCGCATTCTTGATCAGGGGTCCCGGTGTGGACTTGCTGCTTCTTCCCATCAGCTACCTATCCCCGTACTCGAACCCCTTTATTGCCTTCGCGGGGACTTACCACAGCAAGTCCCGAGACCGATTTGATAGAGGTCCCTCTCATTTCTAGTAGTCCATCGGCTTTGTTTGGGGGTTGGGTACTTGACAACGAGATTGTTGTTATTGTTGGAAGTGACGTTGGCATCAAGGTTGACAGCACGGCATGCTCATTTCTTGTGCAGACCAGGCACGTACACGTGGCGGAGGTAGATCCCGTAGATGCCCAAGAAGACGGACACGAGGCCCGAGTACCAGATTGAAACGCAGATGAACATCTTTTCTTTTCCTCTCAAGTTCTTTGGGGGAAGATGGGAAGCTTTCGGGTTCGAGCTGATTGCAGAGAAAGGAGGGTGATGGAAAAAGAGTGGAAGAGAAAAGAGATTTAATGAATGAGTTTGTTGCGTCTGAGACGAGCTCGCCTGAGATCACTCGTAGCCTAAGAGAGATATCTGGAAGAGAGAGAATAAACTTGTAGATGATGTCTCCGTGACAGAAGGAGTGGGAGAGAAAGCCTTATATGAATGACGATGATGGGACTGTCAGTGCTTCAGGGACGGATCCATCCCCCCCTTTTTTGCTGATTTATCGCCTTTTTTTCCCCTCTGCTTACCATTATCCACAATTTATGAGCAGTTTGCATTACTCGTCCAGCACAGAGGAGCACAAGTACTCAGTGGCCCCCCCGTATGGAGCGCGAGAAATCAAAAGGGGTGGTGGTGATGGGTGATGATGGTGGGTACTCGTACGAGAGGCAGAGGTCGGCCTCGGCCTCCCAGGTTGGAACGGTATGCCCTTTTTGCTGTTCCCATTTTTTGGAGCCCGTGTGGCTCCAATTGGCCGTGGGATCGAGCAATTATTATCAAGCAGGAAATTGGGGCAAGGTTTGCAACAGAGCAGGGAGGACGAAGGGCCAGAAAAGAGAACCAGAAAAAAGACCGTGCGCCAGTAGTAGCTTGCGAGTTGAAGCTCGATCGTGGGTGTGGAGCTAGGAGCGCGTCGGAATCGCGGCAAGGCTTCGTTTTCGGGCTTCCAAATCGTCAGACGCGAACCCGGCGAGGGGAGCAACGGCTGCTGCTGGCACCACTCACAAGCATCAAGGGCAACAGGCTAATGGTGTGTCCCCATCGGCACTGTCATCATCATCATCACTCGTGATCAGCTCGTAATTAAAGGGGGGAGGATGGCTTAGGTAAACTTGCAGATTGAAACGACCTGAGATATCGACATATGGATGGACATGTGTTCACTGGTTGGTGGTGAACGGGCAAGACAACACAGTTATTAACATGCACAGCTGGGAGCCCGGATCCGACGGCTTTCCGTGCTCCGGCTCCAGTCGTTTTCATTGTTCGTGAGCTGGGGTTTGCCCAGAGGTTGCCGAGACGATCAAATTTCGGGGTGTCGGGAACGAAAACAACGCGAAATCATAATAATGCGAAGCCGGGCCAGCCGGGAAGGGTTCAATGAAATCCCTTCTCCTCCCGTTTCCTTCATTTCAACGTTGTATCGTCTCATGTGTGTTTGAGATCAGTGGAGATGAGATCGGACTCGACTTGGGCTCGAGCTCGACTATCAGGCCGGTTTGCTGCCCGCGAGAGGGGAATGACAAAGATGGTCACGGGTAAATAAATGGGTGCTCTGCCCCCGTCAAAGAATCCAGCAGTAAATTCAGTGGCAAAGGGAAGACAAAGCCTACAAGATTGTCTCTAGGATTGAAGGACTGCCTTGAGGCGAGATCATCATTTCTGAATGGTGAGTATATGTCTCAGCAAATGGTGCACCCAGTTGAGGAGCAAGACTTGGAAGATGGCGAAGCTGAGGACCCTTTATCCCAAGACAAAGAACACTGAGGCTGGACGTTCTCGTATACAGGACCTTCGAGGTAACATGCTGCAAGGAGCTCTTTGATTTCGAAAGAGCCGTCCGAGGCTATGGACGGCATACAGACGTCAATGCAACAAAGCACATAGCATCAGGTTTACTAAATCGAGACTATGGCAATAGCAGTCGGGGAAGCTCTTACAGAACCCTTATTCGTTGGATACATGCATCTTTCTCTATACTTTGCCCCGGACGCAACCTGCGAATACACCATCTTTAAGCCCAGCTATACTATGGAATCTAGACGTCAATGAAGAATACAGTCTTCCACCCTCCCCTGCTCCTCTGGCCAATCAGAGCCCATGCGATATCCGTGGGTCTCTCGGCCTGCCGCAGCCAATCAAAAGCCACGGACCAACACACTTCTCGTATATCAATAAATTGCAGATAACGATACGATCTTAACATCAAAGACTTTGCACCTCGCCCGTCTCTGTAGCGAGCATCACTCGCCCATTTACAAGACTGGGAGACGAGTCCTAGACAATACTCTCTGACTGTGACACACACACACACCGGCAATAACTGACGATCCACAAAGGGGACAGAGCTGCTCCATCTCATAATGCCAGAACATGCCGAGGAAGACTACAGGTTGTTGGACTTGCCGAGCGCGCAAGAAACGGTGTGACGATGGCCGGCCCTGCTGTTCCTCTTGTACACTGCGTGCCATAACCTGCTATGGGTACGACGAGAAGCCACAATGGATGGATGGTGGCGAGGCCGAGAAGACTGTCATGGAAGGCATCAAACGTCAGATCAAAGAGAGCTACAGACGTCGGCGCTCCAGAGGTTCTGGGATCAAGTCTCGCCATGTCAGGCGCGAAATCGCTCCGAGCACATTCGATCCGTCGTCGCCATCGTCGGTGTGGCCCCAGGATAAGCCCACGCCGTCAGATAACAGCACAGTTCCTTCCCATCATCAGCAAGGCCCGAATTGGGGAAATCCAGACCGGTTCAGCGCATACCTTGTTGCGCGCATCGCAAGGACTGAGCCACAGAGCCCAAACACCTCCGGCCCCGTATCGGACCGCAACCAATCAGTCTCTGCCTCCCCGAGTCGAGACCTGAGTACCCGGATCCCGTTTGACGAAGAAGAGCTCAATCTGGTCATGTACTACCTCGACCACATATTTCCCAGGCTGTCCCCGTATTTCAAACACTACGCAGGAGACACCGGCAGAGGCTGGCTTCTCAATCTGTTTTTGCGGACGAAACCACTGTGCAATGCCGCCGTCTGCCTGAGTGCATGCGACAAGGCCCAGTTCGTGCTGGGACCGCTTAGCGACATTCCGCAGCCATACCATGAGCTGGAGATGCAGCATTTGCGGAGCGTGGCAGATATGCGCGACCATCTCGATCAGCTATCCAAAAAGACGGGCGCCAGCCAGATGGCGGCAGGCGTGGAGGCCCTTGCCTGTATCATACATTTGATTTTCTTCGAGGTTCGTTTCACCCGCGTCATTCGCTGTTACTCTGGTGTGGCCCTGACTGACAATGTCCAGCTTTGGATTCCACGAAAGGGACTTATGAGCGATTGGGTCATGCACTTGGATGCAGCCAGCGCTCTGCTGTCCTCTCTCGACGTTTCGCCGCTCCCTTCTGAAGAATCCCCGATCTCCGAGACGTTGGAAGTCTCCCATCCTCACGAATACGAGGCCCAATGCAAATTCCCGACCGAGTTTCTGTCCGAAGGAGAACAATTGGCTTTCGACTTCTTTCTCGACTTCTACATCTATTGTTTCATCAACGCCACAGCGAGCCTGGGACTCACACCACAATCTGCGCAGTCGATTCGCAGAGTCCGCGCCTTGTGCCATCAAAATCCGGCCAGGCTGTGGGACAGACGGGGATGCGAAGACTGGGTCCTGCTCACGCTCCTCGACATTGCCATTCTCCGGGACTGGAAGCAGAAGTCCTCCCGCGCCGGGACCCTGAGCCTCCGAGAATTGAACCGCCGTGCCGAGATCATCGAGAGCCGGCTTCACGAGGGCGTGGCAAAGTTCGCCGGCCCCTTCTCCCCCTCGACTTTTGCCGCCGTGGACGAGGAAAAACGCATGGTCACAAACATCTACGTCAACGGCGCGCTGGTATTTCTCCACGTCGTGGTGTCAGGCTTCTACCCCAACATCCCCGAGATACGGCAGAGCGTCTTGCGGACGCTGCAGGCGCTCGAATACATGCGCGAGCACTCGGCGATCAATTTTCCATCCTGGCCGTACTGTGTTGCCGGTTGCCTGGCCCTGGAGTCGGAGTATTCCCGCTTCCGCGCCCTGGTGCCCCCTTTCGAGAAGGGCAAACATCCCTTGGTGCTGTCAAAGTGGACGCTGGAAATCATAGAGGAGTGTTGGAAGACTCGGGCATCGCAGCCCGAAGGAGAAGAGTCCTGTAGTTGGGTGACAGCTATGAACCATCTGGGGACCCGACTGCTACTTCTATAAATCCCCTTCACCAAAAAAACAACAACAACAGCCCGGTGCGCAATGACTCAGGAGCTCTTCTGCTTGACGGCCAGAGCCGTGGAAATCAGCTCCACTATTCCAAGGATCTTTTCCTCTTGAAGTCTGCGTCCGACGAGCTGCAAGCCGACTGGCGTGCCTTGTTGAACTTCTGGGTCGTCTTTTTTGGCAAAAGGAAGTTGATCGTTAGCAAGGTTTCAACCTGCAACACCACACCAATGTCCGGGGCCTACTCACACTCTTCCCAGGTTTTCTTGTCCAGGTCATTCAAGGGCTGGTAGTCCTTGTCGAAGGTGTCAACCGTCTTGTCGACTTTGGTGACCGGGAAGACGACGGATGTATAGTCGAGGGTGTTAACCCAAGGAGTATAACCTGGGGAAGCGTAAGCAGTCAGTTCCTGGGCCACAAAGTGACGAATCGAAAACCGGAGGATCCAGCACATACCAACGTGCATTGCCTTCTCGAATTGAAGCGCGGCAAAGGGCGCGACTGGTGTCAGGATCGCGTCCACCGGTCTGCCAGACTCGGTTTGCTTGGCGGTGCTGTTCCAGTACTCCATGTACTCCTGTTGATATTGCCGGAGCTTGAGATTAATTTCCCAGACCTTATCGATCGTCTTAGGCGTCCCAGCCTGTTCGCCATAGAATTCCTTGACCCGGTCTTGGAGAGGCTCACCGGAGAGCCCGATGTGATGCCATATGTCAACCCCGGAATCGGCGGTGAAGGCTTCAAACTGTTTCCCATGGTCAGAGCCAGATCTATGCAAACGATGTCTCCGAAAGCAATCGACCACTTACAGCCAGTTCGATGGCCCTCGTGTGCGACGGCGGCTTCCATTCCACGACATCGTGGCCCATTTCGAGGATCAGCTCTTTAACCGTCTCAAATGCCCTGCGGACGGCGGGCTGGGGATCCACCACGCCGTCGGTCGGCAGCAGCCCAAACGTGAGCTTGCTGCCGTCCGCAGGTAGCGGAGAGCACAGCTCATCCCTCCAGGGCATTTCCACCACTGCGGGGTCGTGGAGCCATGGTTCCTGGCTCAATACCGACCGAAGCATCAACTTCAGTGCTCCGGGAGATGAGGCTATCGGCCCACAAACGGATGGGATTGTGTTCTGCCCGGGCATGCTGTTGGCGGCGCCCGCGTATGGGAGACGACCGAATGAGGGTCTGATGCCATAGAGCCCGTTGAAAGCAGAGGGGATCCTGGGGATGATGGAATAAGCTGGGACCATCTCTCGAAAATCATCCGGTAGCCATTCTTACCTTATGCTTCCTCCAATGTCTGTGCCAAAGCCTATGGGACTTCCTCGCATGCCGACGAGGGCCCCTTCGCCGCCAGAGCTACCACCGCAGCTCATGAGACGATTGTGGGGGTTCAAGGTAAACCCGACGATGTTGTTCCACGTGAGGCCGCTCATCACGGTATGTGGGAGGCTTGTCTTGCAAAACGGCACCGCTCCGAGGGCCTTGGCCTCGCGGACCAGTTCGCTGTCGAAGTTTTTCTCCTTCCCCGTGCCCTTGACGCCTTCAAAAGTGTCAATCCACCCGACATATCCCATGGTCGTCTCCACGCCCTTGACGTGGAATTGGTCCTTGAAGCTGACGGGGAGTCCATGGAGCGGACCCGTCGGGCCATTCGCAGCCGCGAATGCCGCATCCAGTTCTTTGGCTCGCTCAATCGCCAGGTCAAAGAATATTTCGTGGAGGCAATTCGTCTGTTCAACGGCGAGGATTTAGTCAACCCAGCCGGATGCACACACACCGAAGATGGGTGATACCAACCAACTGATGGGCCAGCGCTGCTCGATGGCAGAAGGCCGTCACGACCTCGACAGCCGTCCATTTCCCTGTCGTAGTGTGTTCCGTGATCCGGACCGCGTCGCTCTCGGTGATCTCGACTTCTCGCGGAGACAGGAATTGCTGCACGTAGGCACCGGTGACATCCTTCTGATCGGCGGGCGAGGGGAGCGGGGAGGCCAGTCGCCATTCCGGTGGAATAGCCGCCAATATCGACTCTCGCTTCTTCTGCGCGCGTTCTTGCCAGGTCGAAGCCATGGTGATGCAAGATACCAAAAAGATAGCGACGCGTGCAGGAAGGGATGTTTGAGAGGCAGTGGTGAGGGGATTCTTTATGGTGTTGTCGGTGTTGTAGCATATATTATGTTTCCCAGGTCCAGACCTTGGAGAAATTCAGGTCTTGGGCGACTCACAATTCCGCGCCATGGCACGAGGAGATGGGCGCGGTCGAGGGATGGATGATTCATTCCGTGCCTGGGGAAAGCGCACCTCCTCGCTAGGCCACTGACTCTGATAACGTTTGTTTTCTTGTCTTGCATATCGGCATCGATAGAACAATTCCCTTCTTGTTTTGGGACGCGCTGAATGTTCTAGATCAGCGTATGAGAAATCCTTCTGGCCGTTTTGGCAGAGAAACGGACGAAATGCCACGGGTGGCGTCTTGAGGCTTGATAATTGCCGTGCTCGCATACGGGGTGCCCCATAGCACTAAGAGATACGAAGACCGGAGACACGCTGCCCCTGGGTCTCGGGCTGGCCAATGATCTGGCAGTGTTGAAGAGATACTCAACGGCGGGAAACCAGGGGGGTAGGCGCGGTTGAATCCAACGGCGGCAACGTCTGCATACTCGTATTATCTGTCGCCCTTCTCTATTGATCCTGCTGTGATCGACGCCAGACTATCGACTTGCATGAAGGAGATATCCGTAACCGTTTTGCGAGATTCTGTCACTCGCATGGGAAGAACCAGAAGTATCTCTTATCTTCAAAGCCCAGACAGACGGCACAGTTGACTCCAAGGTCGAAGGGACCCCTCTTGTTCTGGGTTCCTTATCTCTCGCTCCGTGCGAGGGATAGAGATATAAAAATGGGCGACATGGAGGTCGGTCTCGCGAGGCCCTCATCTCACTCAACGACGAACCATCGAACCCTCCCGAGCTGCCACCATCGTCTGCGTGTCGCATATCCAGATCCCGTCACCGGCTCGCCATGTCGACATATTCCGTTGGACCAGAGCTGAAAGTGCTGAGCCCCGGCATTGGCTATGGCATCATTGCTGGGATTGGCGCGGTCTTCTGCCTGGTCATGATCCTGACGACCAAGTTCCAGAACCGCTACTTCGCCTTCTCCACCAAACAGTCCGAGGAGTTCAACACGGCGTCCCGAAATGTCAAGCCCGGTCTCATTGTGGCAGGGATTGTGTCTGCGTGGACCTGGTCTGCAACGCTGCTCACGAGCTCCACCTTCGCATACTCGTTCGGTATCTCAGGGCCAATGTGGTATGCTGCCCTCGGTTCGTCGCAGGTGATATTGTTCGCCCTGCTCTCGCTCAGGGTCAAAAGAGATGTACCGGGAGCACATACGTTTCCGGAGATTGTTCTGTCTCGCCATGGCAAAGGTGGGTCATTAGCTGGCAGTTGCATATCAACCAACAGACTAACAAACATGCAGTGGCTCACGGCATCTATACGTTCTTCGGATGGGTCGTTAACATGTGTAAGTTCCCCTCTGCGAACGCATATGGGCACCTCAACATTTGAAGAACTCTTCGCTAACCTCTTGTTACCTTTTCGAATCACAGTCGTTGGTGCTACACTGGTGCTAGGAGGATCACAGGTACTGGCGGGACTCTCAGGCGTCAATGTCTATGCAGCTTGTTTTATTGTAAGTCATCGAAGTGAACAGCATGGACATATTACTCACACGCCTCATCACGCAGATCCCCATCGCTGTCGCCGCCTACGTTATCCAAGGTGGACTTCGAAGCACCTTTGTGGCCGACTACCTACACACTGTGATTCTCTTTGTGGCAATCTTCATCTTTGCCTTTACGCTGTACACCTCAGATGACTACACCGGCAGCCCGGGAAAGGTCTACGATCTCCTGGTCGAGGCTTCGAAGCAGACTCCCCTTGCTGGAAACCGTCATGGCTCGTGGCTCACGTTTCAATCCTCCACCGGCATCAAGTTCGCCGCTGTCATCTTCCTCGGCAGTTTCTCGACGGTCTGGCTCGACCAGGCGTACTGGCAGCGCGCGATTGCTTCGAAGCCAGAGACCAGCGTGAAAGCATACCTCTTAGGCGGGGTAAGTGCCCATTGAAGGGTCCTTCGACTTCTGTTGGCTCAAATGAAAGATTTGGTTGCTAATTCTCAAGGACAGTTGGCGTGGTATGGGATTCCATACGGATTTGCAACGGTCATGGGCCTAGGCGCTGTCGCGTTGACCGGCTCCCCATCCTTCCCAACCTACCCTAACCCTCTCAATGCAGCGCAGGTCGGAGGAGGCTTTGCAGCGCCAGCCACAGCAATCGCTCTGATGGGCAAGAATGGAGCAGCCTTGATGCTGCTGCTCCTGTTCATGGCAGTCACCTCGGCAGCATCAGCCGAGCTTATTGCTGTGTCCTCGCTTTGGACATTTGATGTCTATAAGCTCTATATCAACCCCTCGGCCTCGTCCTCCAAGCTGGTCACTCAGGCCCATTACGGCATTGTGGCGTACTCTTTGATACTGGCGGCCTTCTGCTGCGCCCTGAGTGCCAGTGGCATCGACATCACCTGGATTCTGACCGTGGGTGGCGTCCTTGTGGGAGGAGGCGGCATTCCCCTAGGACTTATCGTTCTGTTCCCGTCGAGAATGTCAACCGCGGCAGCTATCGGGGCTCCGCTGATCGCCTCGCCGCTGGGGCTCACCGCTTGGTTTGTCACGACACATATCCGCTCCGGAACGATCAATGCTGTGACCACAGGCGACCTCACCAATGCCTTGGTCGGTAGTGCCACTGCCTGCGGTACTGGAGCGGTCGTGGCGGTGGTCTTCTCCCTCCTCTTCCCGTACAAATACACCTCGACGGATCCCGCGCATATCGCCCGCGTGCAAAAGATTCAGGGCACCACAACCCTCCACGGCCGTGAGGTACTCACAGAGTTAAACCCCAGCACGGCACCCACCGTAGGGGACGAGAAACTAGGCGAGACCAAGGCCGAACAATCCACAATTGCCCCGGTATCGACGAGCACCTCCCAACCCGGCGCCGGTGCTGCCACAGGCAACGACGTCGTCGACTACCTCCTAGCCAACCACATCGAGCCGCTGGATCTCAAGGCGTACCAGCGCGCCCGCCGCCTGGCCTACTGAGGCTGCGGGGTCTTCTTCGTGCTGGCCATCGTGCTGTTCCCCTTCACCTTTTTCGGGACCGGGTACATCTTCACCAAGGCCGCCTTCACGGGCTGGGTCGTCGTCAGCTTCATCTGGGTCTTCTTCAGCGCCATCGCCTGCATCCTCTGGCCCGTGCTGGAAAGCTACCCGACCTTGCGGGACATGACGAGAATGCTCCTCCGAGACACGTTCGACCGCAAGGCCAACGAAGAGGCGGTGGCGCATTCGGCGCCCGTGGAGCAGCGCGAATTTAGTTCCCCGGCTTAGAGGGAGCGACTTCAGATCAAGGGGATCTGATTTGCGTGCGTCGGTGATGAATAGAGGCCATACATGGACAGTGGGTGATGGGGCATAGAAAAAAAGTCTTTCTCGCGCGAGTCCGAGACCAGGAGGAGATGAGACCATTCAAATTATAATGGGGGAGGGCACCCAGCTGGGTTAAACGAAGACAGGAGTGAAGGAAAGAAAGATACAAAACAAGGGAGTCGACACCGCTCTCGTTCCCTCTTCCCTTTTCCTGTCAGCAGCCTCGAGTGCTAAGTAAAAGCAGCTTGACAGATTCTCGAATGTAGTTAGTGTGTGCATCGGTGCTCATATGTGTTCATGCTCCTCCCTCTTTCCTTCGACGAAGATACATAAGACTCCGACTCTGCCAACTTTGCTTGCTAAAGGGTATCAACAGACCCCTCCAGAGTAAACCAAATCACATCCTCGCGAACTGCTCCGGCATCCTGGAAACCGACGTGACGGGGATAAAGTTGCCATCGCGGGGGAGGACATCGCTCCTGCTCCTGCGCTCGGGCGCCGCCTCCTCGGCGACATGGCGCCTCATGTCGTACAGGTTCATCTCGTCGACGGTCAGCTTGCCCGTGGCGACCGCGGCCGCGTACCCGATCCTCTGGCTGGAGAAGCCGATGCGCTCGGTGATGTCCTCGCGCGCGCGGGCGCTGGCGGCCTGCACGCGGGTGGCGCGGGGCTTGCGGACGCGCTCGTAGAGGTCCAGGCCGGCGGCGACGTCGGCGGCGGCCGCGGACGCGTAGGTGTACTCCCGGCCGAAGATCAGGCCCAGCGCCGCGGCGTCCTCAAGGGCCTGGCACGCCCCCTGGCTCTGGTCCGGGAGCATTGGGTGCGCGGCGTCGCCGAGCAGGCACGTCCGGCCGGCCGTCCAGCGCGGATACGGCTCGTGCACGAACAGCCGCCATGGCCGGATGTCCCTGGCCTCCCGGAACAGAGCCAGCAGCCGCGCGTCGAGGTCCGGGAACGGCGCGAGCAGGTCGTCCACGCTGGCCGCGTGGTTCCACCCCTCCGAGGCGTGGTCGGACTTGGCGGTTGGGAAGAAGCAGTAGAAGCTGTTGACCTCCCCGGCTCGGCACGGCGAGTAGACGATCTTCTCGATCCCCTCGCCGCCCCAGAACTCGATCGCCCGGTTGCCCGTCAGGTCGAGCAGGCCGAGCCGCGCGACCTCGCTGGCCTCGATCACGCAGTGGTAGCAGGTCGAGGTGGACTGTTTGCGGGTTGGGATTATCCCCAAGGTGCGCCGGACGGCGGACTGTGGCACGTTAGAGATGCACTGGGGCCATGTTGTTTGGGAGAGAAAGAGTGAACTCACGCCAATCCCGTCGGCTCCGACGATCATGTCGTGCTGTGCAACGACCCCATTCTCGAACGTCACGATTCCTCTTTCGTGGTCGATCTCCTTGCATTTATGGTCCAACCGCAATCTCGCTGGAGTCCCTTCGCCGAGACCGGTGGCCGAGTCCATGAGCATCTCGTGCATGTTGACTCGATGGAACATGTTGTAGACCTGCAACCAATCCAGTAAGTCAAAGGCTCTTTCTGTTGACTACCCCCGAACTCGACAAGAGACTTACCCAGCCCCATTGATCCTTGTAGTCGGACAGGTCGTAGACGCTCTGCACGGCGCCCGTCTTCCAGTCGTGGCGGATCAACTTCTGCAACACCACCGTCTTGCCGAGGGAGATGTCGACGTTCCACTCTTCCAGCCACCGGGTGCCGTTGGCGGCACAACTGATCGACGCCCCGACCTCTCCAGCAAAGTGAGCCTGCTCGTAAATGGTCACGGTGTGGCCTGCTCGACGTAGAGATGTTGCTGCCGCCAGGCCCCCTTTCCCCGTGTTAGAATACACTTCAAGTACCGTAGTCTCTTGAGTCTATCGCACTCACCAATGCCGCCGCCGATAACAGCGACGTCCAACGGCTTCCAACCTTCCGCCATATGGTGTGAGGATCGGTGATTCTTGTGTGTCGTATGCAGCCAGGCGTCTTGGGCAATGAGGGCTTAGATTGCGCGATCAGAGGAGAGACTTGTTGTGCGTTCGAGCCTTCTTGACCTGTGCCAGTGAACCGCCGTCCAGTATTTCAAATTTCCCAATGTCCCATATGCCGTCATTGACGCCGTTAGGTTCTTATGCCCTGATAAGAACCCAAGACATTTTCTCTCGGGACGCCTCATTGATTGGCGCCATAGCCGTTCCACAGGGTCGCATGGACGTGGTAACAAATGCTTGATTTGGCAAGAAAGATGGCCGGTGTCCGTTTGGTACCGCAACAAGGTTGTCGTTTGGTGGCCTCTTAGGTGAGAGGTTGCGTGGTGTCTGATGCTAGTTGGGTGTCTGACCTCGAGACTGGCAACACCATTCGTCCATTTGTCGGGTAATGCACCAGTGCGCTGCCCGCCACCCGCGCATCTGTTGTTCATCAGCAAAAGCGGCTTAGTCTGACACCCAGCTTCAGTACCGTATGCACGACCACGAGATCTACTTGGACGTGTCAGACCGAAACAACTCCTGTGCGTCGGATATGGGCGTTGGGGTTGCGGAGAAGTGTATCATGAGGAGTTGGCTGTTCGACTGAGTGTCCGAGCGGAGTGACGCCGGGGCTTTTCCGCGCTGTACACACATCAGCGTCGTGGAAGTTGGTTGATTCCTGGAGGAATCTCCTTGTTGAAGAGGTCAGAATATAGTCAAACATCCATATAAGAAAGCAGCCAGTCATCTTCACATCGAGAGTCCTTGCGTTCAGAGTCCTATTGAATTCCAAAATGCTCGGTAAAGTGGCCCTCGAAGAAGCATTCGCGTTGCCCCGATTTGCGGAGAGAACACGATGGTGGGCATCGATGTTCGCGGTGAATCCGGACAAGCATGCCCGCGAGATGACCGACATCAACGACATCCGGATCCAGTACATGGACAAGTACGGAGTAGGGTACCAGATCCTGTCGTACACGGCTCCTGGGGTCCAGGACGTCTTTGACAGGAAGGAAGCAGAGGCGTTAGCGACTGAGATCAATGACTACCTCGCATCGACGATCAAGGCTCATCCAGACAGGTTTGGAGCGTTCGCGTATGTCTTTCCTCCAGATTTTGTGCGTGAACAAGTGTTAACCATCTCCTTAGAACGCTGTCTATGCATGACCCAAAACAGGCAGCAGATGAGCTTCGACGCTGTGTCACGCAATATGGATTCAAGGGTGCGCTGGTCAACGACACTCAACGCACAGGCCCTGATGGAGACGACATGATCTTTTATGACTCGGCGGAATGGGACGGGTTCTGGTCGACGGTGACTGAACTGGACGTCCCATTCTATCTGCATCCTCGCAATCCCACTGGCACCATGTATGAGAAGCTGTGGGCGGCGAGGAAATGGCTCGTCGGTCCTCCCCTGAGTTTTGCCCAAGGGGTCAGTCTGCATCTTCTGGGGATGGTGACGAACGGTGTCTTCGACCGGCATCCTAAGCTCCAAGTGGTCATCGGGCACCTGGGCGAGCACATCCCCTTCGACATGTGGCGTATCAACCACTGGTTCGAAGACGTCAAGAAGCCCCTGGGGCTGAAGGAGACATGCAAGAAGACGATCCGCGAATACTTTGCCCAGAACATCTGGATCACCACCAGCGGGCACTTTTCGACGCCGACGCTGCATTTCTGCCTCAACGAGATCGGCGCGGATCGGATCCTGTTTTCGATCGACTATCCCTTTGAGAAGTTTGAAGATGCGTGCGAGTGGTACGACAATGCCGAGATCAACGAGGTCGACCGAAGGAAGATTGGCAAGGACAATGCGAGGAAGTTGTTCAAGCTGCCCGAGTTCAAGGACTGCGATGTCTGAAGTTGGTGATTGGTTCTTTGGAGGCTCTTCTGGATGCGGCCTAGGTTAGTGGTTAGGTAGCTCTTTGGGCCTCGAGCCCCAAGGCTTTAACTAGAATCAGCCCCCGGGGGAATCTCCACGATGCCCATCAACCCCGCAGAAGCCTTATCTTGCTTATCCTTTAACTAAGGCTGGAGTGGGCCCTAGTCTCAAGCCCTAATAGTGTCGTGCTTATCTGTTCGTTCCACCAACGCCACGAGAATAATGACTCTTGTCCTTACCTACACTATCTAACAACATCCTTCCCAATCACCATCAATGCCTACAACATGAAGAGAGATGCCTCGTCCCAAGGTCCGTCCTGAGGATCGACAGCGGTCCGCCAAAGCATGTCTACCCTGTAAGGCCTCGAAGAAACGCTGCAACGCTCAACAACCATGCTCCAACTGTGTAAGGCGAAGAACGCCGTCGTCCTGTCGTTATCTGGAATCGAGTCATGCCAGGCATCAGTCTCAGACTCCGTATAGTCAGCCAGAAGTGCTCCGAGCATCGGTACATGAGTCCAACCGGGTTGTGGCGAGGCCTGAGTATGGCGCATCAGCACCCAGAGATGCGGCGACACATGTTCCCCGTGCAGTTAATTCAGCCCCGCGCGACTCGTCGGCATCAACTAGCCAGAGGCTCACGGGAGGCCGAATGCTTCTCAATTCGAAGGGAGAAAAAGGTATGAGATTGCTTAGTTGCCGCTGAGAGAGCTTCGAAAACTGAGGCGCTGGTGGTCTAGTCTACATTGGAGGATTCGCCTCGCTGTCATTTTTGCAGTTTCTTCGCCAGACCATCAGGCAGCAAATGGGCCCCTCGCTCTTCACGGAAAATACCCGTCGCCATGTCATGCTAGAGGCCACCAGTCCCGAAGACACAAGCAACAACTTCGTCGAAGACGAACACCAGAAACGAGCCATGATCGACGTCTACTTTGTTGCTGTAAGTTGCGTCGGGCGGTGGCCAAGGATAAAGAGATTGCTCACAACAATAGACCAACGGAATGCTAGACCTATTTTCTCGAGAAGAAGTTGAGGCATATTCTGCAACGGTGGACACCCCAAGTGCCGAGAAACGCGAATACATGACGGCTGCACTCGACCTCATGGTTGCCATTGGAGCGCAATGCCGAGCAGCAGATCAGTTCGATCGTCAGTATGCCGTAAGACTCTTTTCCAGAGCACAGAAAACCGCTCTCGCCAGCGGACTCGAGGACCCCTGTCTTGACATGGTTCGTTGTTTCCTGCTCATGACCTTCTACATGCTGGGAGCCTGTCGAAGGAACGCCGCCTTTATGTACATGGGAATTGCCAGTCAGGCTGCCTCTGCTCTAGGCCTCCATGTCACCGAACAATATCGTCATTTCAATGCTTCAGATCAAAGCGTGCGGTAAGTCACATTCCAGCGTCCGCATTCTTGATCCGTTTGTCCTGCTGACTGCGATAGGCTGCGCACGCTGAGGAGCCTTCGAGTCCTGGATGTGATGTATTGTTCGATTCTCGGGAGACCTTATTCAACAGGCGCAATCAGAACCGACCACGTCACACCGAACAGTGGCGACGTCGAGACAAGCAGTCCCCGCCAGCTCAGATTGAATGCAAGCTTCCGGGTCTGCACCATTATCGCGCAGATCACACAGCGCCTTGACTGTGACGGTTCTATGGGTCTGAGCACTGCCGAGGAGTTTCTGAAGCGCCTCCAGGAATGGAGTGTCAGTCTTCCGGATGACATGCGGCAGTTCAAGAAGCCGGTCGACCAACCCTTGGCGCTGTCGGAGCAGGAACAAATGATAGGGAATATTCACGTCTCCTGTGTTTATTATTTTGCTGTGATGCTCGTGACCCGGCCCTTTTTGATTTCACATCTGATGCAACAATTGACCGGGAATGCAGGCGATGGCTCCGTCACTATAGCAACCCCTGACGCGCAGGCGAATGTGATTGATGTGGCCCAGGCCTGCATTGATTCCGCAATTCTCATGGCCAATATGTGCTACGAGGCCCTCCAGTCTGGCATTCTGCTCAAACAGATGTGCATAATGAAGTAAGGAGCCGACACCCTGCCCCTTGGGCTGATGTAGGCTGACTTTCCCAGGGCGTGGGTCTTCGCCGCCGGCCTGGTGCTGGGATTCTCCATGTTCGCGCAGGGTGAATCCCGCTTCGACATGGACGACGCGTTCAACAACGCGCGCGAGGTCCTCCGGAATCTCTCCATCCACAGCCCGCAGGCAGAGCACTACTACGAGATCCTCAGCGGCTTCGCCGACGTCATCCAACGACACCGCCAGCATCTCTCGCGCGAGAGGCGCCGCTCCAAGAATAAATATGTCGACCAGATCTTGGCGCTGGATGCCAGTCCGAGTGCCGGCGGATCGCACTCGACTTCCTCTCCGCGGACGCCATTGTCCACCGACCACGGCATCGGACCTCTAAGCACTGCAATACCGGGCGGAAGTGAAACAGGAGGTGGTGTTCTTGGGACTGACTTTGACTTTAATGGACCACTGCAGATGGCGGATTATAGCCAGTGGCCGCTGGAAAACGGGGGCGGCTTTGACTTTGGCATGTTCGGCTGGGACAACTTTGCCATGCAAATTTCCGAGAACTTTTCCTTCGACAACGAGCCAGCTTGGGGTGTCACTTGAAAAGCATGCTGCTGTTGGTTTCGGAATTACAGAAATACTCTCCATGAAAGCATTCCAGAAGGACACCGGGGTTTTCTTAGCATACTTGAACTTTATCATATGCTCTCTATTATAGTGAGTGACCACGGTTGCCGATAGCCTCCACGAACTAGAAAGTTACCCCATCACGACGAGGTGCGAAGATCATTCGAGATCTGTATGAATCATATTAAATGACAATGCCTCACTCCTGCCTTACAAGCATCGAATCGCGGTATGACAGGGACAGTATATGGGCCTGTGTATACTTGAAGAGTAATTCATTTCCCAATCACCTGCGCCTGCATTCTACGACTGAGATTACCAGAACAAAAAGGATAGCTATCACCGCGCGCAATCGTCACTCGTATCCCTAGAACTTCAGTGTTGGAACATGCTCCAAAAAAAAATGGCTCTGCTTTTGCAGAGCCTGGTTTTCGGCGCAGTTTGGGAATAAGTCGACAAGTGGCAAGATTCATGGAGTCGTACCCTCAAAACGAGTAGTCTAAAGAGGGCCGCTCTCATTCTGCAGAAATGCTAGATCCCGGTCTCAGATTGCACTCCATTACTTGCCCGAGAGCTTCAGGATTGGGCAGGTCTATAGAGACCAAGATGCTCTGTCTGAAGATTGAAGGGTGGAATGCAAAATCCCGGTCATGCTATTCTGTTGAACAGATTGGAAGTCACTTTTCGAACGCGATTATGCATCCAAACCTCTTCTTCAATGGCACAGGCTTGTAGTGCGCGAGTTTTAGTATGTATTGGGGATCTCCTCGTCGAATAGCCGGCTCTTTGTTGCGTCGCCTTGTCCTTGGAACGCATCTCTCTTCCATATTTGATAGATCTTGCAAGGAGGCCAGAGAGGGTGACCATCGTTGAAACCGTGCGCGGTGCTCCAGTGTCGCGTCCTGTCTTTCCACGTTTTCCCAAAGCCCAGGGAGCCTTGCGGCGGAATGTTTGGGGCGCTCCCTTGCTCCACCCGGAACGTGTCGTCGAGATTCCTCATTCGGCGATTTTGGCCAATTTAAGAACGCACCATACCGGTTGCATTCAGACCAAGTCACTCACCACCTCCTTCATCCTTCTACCACGCACAGCGACTCCTTACTTCTTCTCCTACTCCGCGCGAATCCCTTTCATTTCCCTGGCCCCAGAGGCACAAAAGAAATACCCAGCGCAGAGGAAGCAAAATGGCGACATCCCCAACTCTGCCGTACTTTTCGCCACCAGACCAGCTCCCGGCCCCGCTGCCCACCGTCACCGAGATCATAGCCGCGACGCAATTCATGGATAATGCTCGATGCGAGCTACACCGCAACGTCGTCCGAGTCGGGGAACACTTTGTTGTCAAGTTCGGGCGGCGCATCCGTCTCCAGGAAGGCGAAAACATGCTCTTCATCCAGCAGAGTACAAGCCTGGGTGTTCCGACCGTCTATTCGCTTTTTCACGACGAAGCGACCGGTAACAACTTCATCATCCAGGAATACATCGCAGGTCAGACAAGTATTGGGGAAAGGCGAATCAAAGCGACAAGGAGGCAGTCGTCACCCAGCTCCGGCATTACTTTGACGAACTCCGCAGTCTCCCATCACCTGGCTATTTCGGTGGCGTATGGCGAAAACCCATCCTCGATGGTTATGTAACAGGTGGACCAACGGCTCCGCACGTTCCGCCATGCGATACAGAGAAGCAATGGGTCGACACCATGATTCGACGCGCCGAGGCCTCGTACCCCATTGAACCACCTGTACGATCGGAGCTTACCAAGCGTATGATCTACTCGATCTTCCAAGGCCATAACTCTGTCTTCACACATGGCGATCTTCATCCGTCGAACATCCTCCTCCGCGACGATAACACGATTGTGGTAATCGACTGGGCGTACTCGGGCTGGCATCCAAGCTACGTGGAGTACTGCAACATCATGCTGGTTATGAGCTTTGAGACCGATTGGGCTCTGTGGATATCGCGGTTTCTCGATGAATATGTTGGTGAGTCGAGTTGGATGCACGATATTCGTGGGTGGATGATGCGGGGTGGAGTGGCGGCATGGAGTTGATACTACCTTGGACACGGGCAGTAGTACTGCGCGCAGCGGCAGGCGCTCGTGATGTTGGACAAAATACAAAGAGCGAAAAGGACAGCCTTCCATTACTCTGCAACATAGGTGTCGAGATCGACATTCTTACAAAGCCCTCCGTACCTCCCCTTACTCGCAGACCTCTCTCTAGAGGTTGTCTCCGTCCTTGGTACCGAATCAAAGTTGGGATCTCGCAAGCCCAGCCGCCAATATCAACGCTCTCCAAGTCAGAAAGGAGTACCAGGGGTCGAGACAGGGGGCGAAAGTGCCAGGGTTGAGATCGTGGCCCAAGACATTGATTGGTGCCATCGGTACTAATTTTCAAACCGTTAGCCTTGAGGGTACTGGCCCAAGGAAGTGCAGGAAGACCTCCATGTGGCGCGCTTACCTCAAGGTAGGTTCCATAGCGCCTTGCCACCTCCGTGCCTTCAGATAGTCGAGGGCTATTGCTCTCCAGATAGTGTATGCAAGCGTTGAGAGATCCTCGTTCTTGGTCCCCACGTTCCAGCAGCGCACCATTTCGAGACAATGGACATATAGCCTGTCTTGGGAGAAACTTGAGCTGGTGACAGTTGGTGAAGGGGCCCCCGCGAACGTACATCAGGGTGTTTGCCCGTCTGCATGCTCGCCTTGAAATGGTGACCAATCTAGTTCATCCCAGGAAGCTCAATGTCTCGGAGCTGGAAAATGTGGTATCATCCCTGATGGTGTTGTACGGGGATCGAATTCGTTAGCATACACGTGCTAGAACCCGTAGAGGCCTATCTAGAACCGTTTGATAGGAAGGGTTTTCTGTTCGCGGCCCTGTCTCACTCTGCCACCAACAACACATCAACCAAACCAAACGCTGGAGGAAGGTATATAGTTAACAGGTCAGAATCGACAGCAGGACGATCTACAGGACGTCGCGGGAACAGTAAACAAGGAAGAATAGAAGGCCGAAGGCACAGCTAGCGAAGCTACGGAAGCGGGCGTTTTCAAAGCCTTGAAATGCCGGAAATTGAGAATGCAGGGCCCGCGTTGCAGGTCCCCTTCTGCAGGTTCACAGCTGTACTTACACCGCTCAGGGCCCAGCTCAGGGCTCGCCAAGCCATTTGTGATTTTCTTCCACCCTTTTGGGTTGACAGCGGTGCCGCCATCCATATCTTCAAACAAAACCTCCTACTCTTCCATTCGATGGGAGAGAATTGGTAAGGAGGAACGTTTCGCCTCTCGAATTTTCAAATTCTAGTGTACAGATATTTATCAGCCGCATCAGATCGGTGACTGAGGGCTGATAAAAAAAACAGAGATCGAGAATGTGTCACTTGATTGAGTACAGTGACCGGAAGCCAGTCCAAAACGAGGCTGTCTCCATCGACGTTTTCGAGTAAGCATTGCTTGGTCGATGGGAGCTGGTATTCCCAGGGCAGAAGGCACGTCGTCCAGAATGACCTTCCTACGCGCCTGGTGCCTAACTCTATCGGGAAGGTTAGACGGCTCCACTGCAATAGTGCACTGCCACGACCACACATTCCCAGTAGTTATGTGCCATCAATCAATGGAATAGATCAATTGCAAGAACATGTTGGTTACAGCACACGCAACTATGACACCAGCACGGGAGACCAGAAATAGGCCCTTTTCTAGAACAGTTAAGCCTCGAGCCAACCCCTTGAAAATGATGGGTGCCTTCGATGCCTCGACGATATTGTGAGCCTGCCCAAATGTATACCAGCCTTATGCGGTGGAGGCAGGTGTGGGCCCGAGTTCCATCGTTGAAACTAGCTAGCCATGATGTATTCTGCTGAGGATACTGATCAGCGGTATATACACCCGGGATGAGGTTCGTCCGAGTTCCACATTTCCGCATCTGGCATCATAGCCTGAACTGGAAGTATGGGCTCAATCGGGTTTGCTCCACATACAATTCGCATCTCTATTTCGAAACATACGCTCGCAAGACCTGGATTGATTTATCAGCAAACGTGCTGGATAGTGAGTGTTGCTCTTCTGGTGCGACTATATATTCTTGCGAGGGAACAGCACCATCGCCTCTCGCTGGAGCACCAAGCAACACTCAAACGGCAGGCGTCTTCGTGCTCTGTTCAGTCAATTTCACACAATACTTCCCCGTAACCCAATTTCAACGGCTCAGAATCGGAATCATGGCTCCCTTCCACATCGGCGCGCTGGTGTACAACTACCAGGCAATCGACGTCATCGGTCCTTTTGATTTACTCAACTCTTCTGGGAAGGCTCTCCTCAACGCCATGAGCTTCTTCATCCCCATCGACAAAAAGGTCCTCTCCGACGCCCCCGAGTTCGTGTTCCACCACATCGGCGAGACTCTCGACCCCGTTCACCTGCTCACCAGTTCCGTCACCATCGTGCCCAACACCACCGTCGAAGACTGTCCGGATTTGGATGCCCTCCTCATCGGCGGCCCCAACGTCGCCGACTTCGAGCTTTCCCCGAAGTATGCCGATTTCATTCGCCGCCACGTCGCCGCCGGCAAGCTACTCTTCACGATCTGCACCGGCGCCGGTGTGGTGGCGTCGACCGGAGCCCTTGACGGACGAACCGCCACAATCAACAACCAAGAATTCCACTGGACGAAGAAGCAGTACCCCAAGGTCAACTGGACCAAGGACAAGAAATGGGTGGTCGACGGAAACATTTGGACGGGCAGCGGTGCCGTGGCGGGCATGGACATGATCGCCCATTGGATCAAGGAGAATTATGGCTTGGATGTGATGACGCAGGGAACGAGTGGGCTGGACTACGAGCCGAGGGATATTGATGGGGCATTTGATACCGTGTTGAAGCAGAGGTATGATGCTAGTGGGAAGCGCTTGCCTGCGCACATATTCCCGTGATCGACCGCCAAGTCAAGTCGGCAGCAACTAGGTATTCTAGAAGCTAGAGAAGACCAGTGAACGTGTCAGCCGATCTCTGTAAACAAAATTTCTTTGTTCCCCGCGTACGTTGATACCGTTTCAAGCTTTCATCTGCTTCTTCGGTCACATTAGAGCATCGGTCCCAAGACGGGCGGTCGATTCAGTGGTCTCTGCTCGTCGGCTATGCAGACTGGCGATGGCCGTTAACGAGAGGAAGGACCATTTGCCTAAAACAGCTGAGCTAGCTAGTCTTCAATATTATTGAGGTGCTTGCATTAGCACTTACCAGAAAATAGCTGTTAAGAGGCATAATGGCGACACTCAATCCGAGACCGACCAAATGAAAGTGCGAAAATAAAAGTCATTCCTGTCGATTATATTTCTGGGCAGTACAGTAGTCTGCGCTATGGCTACCATGTAAGCCCCTCCAGAGCTATAACTGGATTCGCGATTCCTGTTCCCAAGTCATCCATATACACAAATGCCCCTTCCCTCCAACTCAGTAGTGAGAACTAAGTTCGGCCAATAGGAGTTGGCTGAGGCAGTGGCAGATGAATTCGAGCACTCCCATGTTGATATTTCTTCATCTTCATTTTCAGCCGTCTGCGTCGCTGGCAGCCACTTACACGAGGCTTCTCAATTGAAAGGATATGCAAAGTCCGGAACGAAATGTTGAGTACGAGACGAGGGTCGGACATTTAGGACGGTTAGAAGAGAGTTGATAGCCTTCTGATGTGTCTTGCTTTAAATCCGAGCAAACTTCACTGAGAGATTTGGAGTTTGATTTAGTTGTCGTCGGCATCTGGATGCGAGAAGTAACCGACTCCAGTGCGGGGGGCCGGTGCGGTCGTCAAGCGCCATCCTGATCAGTCGCAGAGGCTATTTCGGAACGACCTGGTTGGATACAATAAGTCCGCCCGAAAGTCCGGCCGGCCAGCCTCGTGCTGGTTGGGCCCTACGAGAGAAGGTCGTCCTTATCCAGTATTGATCGTTCTCGCTTCGATCGAGGCGGAGATCGACAGGGGTGTGTACTGCACCATAAGGAAAATGTATTGACCGCCGGAAAAAAACAAAATCAGAGTTTGAGTGGCGCCGACGTTGACCCTCGGAGTTAGCTATATCGCCAGCGTGAGTGTCGGTGAGGTGCTTAATATCGAACGGAGGTATGATCAGAATGATGCAAAGACTGCCATACTCTCCCATCCGTTATAAAAAGAGAGAGTGTCAAAGGTTCGGTGGTCAGCTGGGATTGATCACAACACTGCCGAGACATTATCGTTTACCAACATGGAAGTCCCGAAGACTCCTCACTCTTGGATTCCATCATGGTGTCGCTGGGAGACCGACAACCCGCCGCCATTGACCATGAGGCTGAACATTCTGTACGCCTGCGCGGCGGGTTTCACTTCAGCCAACCTCTATTACAGCTACCCCATCTTACATATTCTGGCCAAGGACTTCAATACCACGCAAACGGGAGTCGCGAGTATACCTGCATTGGCACAAGCCGGAGACGCCACCGGCCTCCTCTTGATTCTTCCGCTGGCCGACTTCCTCCCACGGAGGACCTTCACCATTACCTTGTTGTCTTTGTCGATGGCATTTTGGTATGTTGGCGGAATGGCCTCCACCCACCAAGAAAGTCGCTGACCGTTATACAGGATTGGCCTCTGTGTGACCACAGACCTGACTGTTTTCCTCGTTCTCACCTATCTTTCCGCCCTCTTCACAGGTATCACCCAAATCATGCTCCCTCTGGTGGCTGAGCTCTCGCGTGCGGAGAAACGTGCGTTCAATATCTCGATTGTCGCCGCAGGCCCGACACTTTCCATTCTGCTGGCGCGTATATTGTCGGGGATCGTCGCAAACTATACATCCTGGCGGAATGTGTACTGGCTGGCCTTGGGTTTACAGGGAGGCGTGCTCCTTGCCCTGTGGCTATTCATGCCGGACTATCCCGCCATCAACCCAACACCTGCACTGAAGATTGTGAAGACTTACCCCAAAATCCTATGGACAATCGTGACCATGTATTGGAAACACGCAGTTCTCGTTCAAGCAGCACTTCTCTCGTACTGCACCTTTTTCTGCGTGTCTTCGTTCTGGACCACCCTCACCTTCTTGTTGAGCGAGGCCCCCTATCGCTATAGCACCACCATCATTGGCATCTTTGGTCTGGTCGGCGCCGCAACCATGGTCTTGGGCCCGCTTTACAGCACGTTCATCATCAAGCCGCTCGGACAACCTCTCTTCTCCGCGATCGTCGGCAAATGCGTGAGCTTGATTGGGATCGTAGTCGGGACGTTTGCCGGTAGATACAATGTCGCCGGCCCGATCATCCAAGCTTTGTTGCTCGATGCAGGGCTGATGATTGTGCAAATCTCAAACAGGATGGCTATTCACCCGTGCGAACCGAAGGGAGGGAACAGAATCAATACAGCATTCGTTAGCGTGCTCTACCTGGGACAGTTGAGTGGAACCAAGGCAGGAAACCTGATGTATGAGCAGCATGGAGGATGGCTTGCAAGTGGTGGTCTCAGCATTGCTGTTATTGCGTTCAGCTATGTTGTTGCGCTGCTGAGAGGACCCCATGAGACTGGTTGGATTGGCTGGAGCGGTGGATGGAGGCTGAAGCCGGATGTCAAGAGGCCAGAGGAAGATCCAGAAGCAGTAAATGGACGGCTTGCGGAGGAAGTGAAAGATGGGTGAGAGATGATGATGCTAGGCGCGACTTACTCATCCGCCGTGTTAGTTAAGCGGCACGATGCCTAGACTGGGACATCGTGTCCTTATCACTGGTGCATTGCGGACGCAGCCGGTGCCCATATGCGGGGCATCGCCGTTCCGCCACTGCAGCTCAAGTCGCGTTCAATTGAAGGCTGCATTTTCCACCCTTGCGCCATCGCGTGCGGCGTTGCAGCTGTCCATAGAAAAAAGTGCCATGAAGTTACGGTGAAACTGTCCTCTACTCATTTTTCGAAGGTGAAGCTGTCCCTTTCTCTTTCTCTTTGACACTTGGTTTCCTCCTGTTGCTCCGAGAATATCAAGACCTCCCAATCTCGTCAACCGGCCCCTTCCCCTCCTCTCATTGACTCCTCACCGCCGCAACCATGGCCGAACTGTACCCCGACCTTAAGGACCGACCTGTCAAGGAGACCGTCTGCCTCTTCGACGTCGATGGCACTCTCACACCTGCGAGACAGTCTGTGTCTGCTGAGATGCTGAAAACCTTGTCCAACCTGAGACACAAGTGCGCAATTGGCTTCGTACGTGAGCCCATCAGTGGAGAGGGGTGCCGATGGAACTGACCCTTAAATAGGTTGGAGGTTCAGACCTCGCTAAACAGCAGGAGCAGTTGGGCACTCCGTCTCTTCCTGTCACCACCCTCTTTGACTTCTGCTTCGCCGAGAATGGCCTCACAGCCTATCGCCTGGGCAAGCCGTTGGCCTCTCACTCCTTCATCCAGTGGCTTGGAGAAGAGAAATACCAAAAGCTGGCCAAATTCTGTCTGAGATACCTCTCCGAGCTTGAGGATCTCCCTCGCATGCGTGGAACCTTCATCGAATTCCGAAATGGCATGATCAACGTCAGCCCGGTTGGTCGTAATGCCAGCAAGGCAGAAAGAGACGAGTTTGAGGCGTGGGACAAAAAGAGCAAATGCAGACCTCAGATGATTGAGGCGATTCAGAAGGAATTCCCCGATTTGGGACTCACGTACGGGCACTTTTGGGAATATCCTCGTTTGCGTTAAGCTGACATACACTCCAGATACTCGATCGGCGGCCAAATCTCCTTCGATGTCTTCCCCACAGGATGGGACAAGACTTACTGCCTGCAACATATCGAGGCTGAAGCAGATTCCAGCAAGGGTCTGTCTGGCATCCACTACAAGAACATCCATTTCTTCGGAGACAAGGCCTTCAAGGGAGGCAACGACTGGGAAATCTACAGCGACCCTCGAACCATTGGTCATTCTGTGAAGGGGCCGGAGGATACCATCGCCCAGCTCAAGGAGATCTTTGACGTCTGACTGGCAGCGCGCCTCTGATAAGCAAGACGAGGATTCCCTCTTCTCGCCCAGCACTCGGCTTTTGTGTGTTTTGACTCGGATCATACACTTTCTTTAGGGATTGGGAGCGACGACACAGAGAGCATCCAGGGTTAGAAAGATTCCATGGATCAAAAATGGATTGAATCAACAGACATAGAGGGATAGACCAAATGGTTTCACGCCGTAAGTGGATGGCTTGAGATAAGATCGAAGGGATCGAAAGATCGATTTCACCAATTGAGTCTTGAGGTGATTTTTCTTCGTGGTCCAACTTTTGCTTGAGCACTGCCTGGAGAGCTGATGAGAGTCCTCCCTGTCACTCACGCCCTCTCCCACACACACTTTTCTCACAGCACACGGCGTGAATCATTTGATCCTTCTCCCTAGTCCCACGACGCTCATCGTTCTGGGGCACCACTAATCCGTTGTTGAATGTCCCTTGGTCCCTTCAAAACTCAGACGCCTCGCTCTTCGGCACTACATTACATCCACCATCGCCACCTCGGTCGTCCGTGTATATGCGTCACGCTATTCGAACGAGCTTCAACGCCATTCCACGTTGGGCTCATTGCTCTCCCACAGGAGAACGCAGCAGCTGCAGGAAAATCTCCTGCCGAATTGGGCTGTTACCGCCGCTGCTTTTGGGCGCCGACTTCCCTCGATGCCAAGAATGCTACTGTATAGAAACTACGCCAATCAAGGATTAGTGTGTACTCCCTTCCGTTATGCGACGACCACCTGCGAGCACAACTAGGCCAACCATTTAAATGTTGGCCCTCAATATCAAGTATAACATTGCTCGGCGAGAGATGGTCCTGCAGCTCTTTATTTGTGCTTGAACTGCTGATGCTGCTCCTTGTACTGTCTTAGAATGCCTTACGGCGTTTCTGCCACCCTTGCCACTATCTTGAACCCGCTTACTTTGCCTTCATTCCCAAGCGGCACACCTTCTTCCAACATTCCAAGCAAACCTTTGCTGACAAGCCTCACAGGGTGCGGCCGCAACTTTCCCTGCCTCGCCAAAGTCTCCGTGAGCCCTGTGAACATCTTCGCGAACTCAAATTGCTCCCGATTCGGCGGATAATACTTCCCGAACTTGTCAAATGCCTCGCCCGCAAAGGTCACCAGCACACTGAAGCTGTGCTTCACGTCCTTCCGCGGGATGTCGTTGAAGAGGATCGTTCCGTACTTCTTGTCCGCGCCGGGGTCGGTGGAGAGAGCCGTCATGCAGATCTCGACGCCCTCGGCGGAGCCAATCGTGTCCCAGACTAGCTTCAGCCGACCCTTGGTGTATTCGCGGATCTGTTCGCCACAGGTCGGGTCGGTATAGTCGAACACGGCCTCGGCGCCGCGGGATTTGCAGAGGTCAAAGTTGCGAGGCGAGCAGGTTGTTAGGACAGCATAACCGGCTCTAGCATCAAGGCATCAGCGATTAGGTGCGTCTTTTGGATCGACTCCTCATTCCACGACGCGGACAGTGGGCGGTCAGAGGGAAACTCACAGGCTGCAATACTGAATAGCCAACGTCCCCGCCGACGAACTCCCGCCGTAGATCAAAACATACTCCTTTTCCTTTCCAATTCCTACAACATCGTCGTCGACGCTAGGCAATCTCAGCTTCATCTCCTGAAACAACCCCTGCCCACAGGTGATCGAGCTCGCGCCCACCGTTGCTGCCTCCTCAAAGCTCCACATCTCAGGTATCTTCATGCAGCAGTCACCCTTGGCCACAATGACCTCCGCCCAAGCCCCGTCCTCTGCCTCGTTGAAATTCGCGCCATGCGCGAACCCAAAGACCCGATCCCCTTTTCTGAACCGTTTCACCACGTCACGTCCAGATTCGAGAACGGTGCCGGAGAAGTCGCATCCTAACAGTCCGTTAGGCGCGGCGCGGGATTGAGAAATCGCCTTGACGTCAGTTGGGTTGAGAGCCACTGCGACAGTCGAGATCAGGAGATAATCGGGGCGAAGACGGGGAAGGGCTCGGTCAGTTATAAGTTCGGCAGCCGTGCCGTTCCAGATTATGGCCTTCATCATCATGGAGTTTTTGTTTTTGGAAGGATATCATCGGATGGTAAATGGCCCGTCCACCCTTTGGAACCGGCGGCCTTGCCGGCTTCATTTATGCGTGTTGACCTTTTGCCCAGATCTCTTTGATCTCGGAGCTTGTACTAGTTTGTGCTAGTTATCTTTTCCGTTGTGGTGCTCTCCTTCAGACGGTTACTATCGCCGTCTTGCCAGGCACTGCTGACAAATTTGGATGATGCTGTTCTGCTAATACGATAGATCATAAGCTGCATAAGTATGGCAGGCTCGGAAATAGGAGTTTGCGGGGTCTCTGCAGACTTTGGCTTAGTGGACACAGCTAATTAGTTTTTTTAGACCTTTCTTTGGAATGTTGCCCAGTTCTGCCCTGACTTGGCTGCATCCGGGACCGATTGTATGTGTGTCGTCTCGCGAGGCTGAGATCCACAAGGCTGGATCGATGCCCTCTCATTAGCATTCAACACACTTATCTAGTCCAGGCCAATCCTCTCGCTTGCCCCGTCATCACCATCATTACCCCTCCACCAACTTCAAAATCTCCATGACCTGTGCCTTCGTCGTCAGCGGCACCGGATTCGTTCTACACCAGGGATCCTCTAGACACCTTTCCGCAAGGAGCTGCAACGTCTGATCCCCTTCCACACCCACTTCCCTCAACGTCCTCGGCATCCCAAACTCGCGAAACAGTCCATCAAGCACATCTCCCAAGTCTGCTGAAGAACGCTTCAGACCTCGCTTTTCTAGCGTCTCGCGGATATAGTCATCGGACCAAAGGGCCACAAGGGCGCGTTGTTGCCGAGGCGCGTTGACGCGGGCGTTGTATTTCATGACCGCAGGGCATAGAACGCACGACGTGTGGCCGTGAGCGACGTTCATGGTGCCCAGTTCGTGGCCGATAGCGTGTGAGGCGCCCAGGTGCACGCCTCGACATAATCCTGACTTCAGTGTCAATGACTTTTTGTTTTGAAACGCCTTGTGGCCGTGCAAAGGCCGGGGGCCAAGATCCAACATACCATCCATCGCATAGTTCGAGCCGAACTGCGTCGCCAACCTCGCCTGCAAATCCGTTGGGTCCTTTTTCAACTGCAAAAGGCCTCGCACCACCAACACTAACCCCTTGGCCGCGGCCTCTTCCGTCTCAGCCTCAATATCGGGATTCAAGGACCCCAACAACTCGACGCAGTGGTCAATGCTGCGCACCCCGGAACTCATCCAGACCCACTCGGGCGAATGCCGTGCGAGCTCCGGGTCCAAGATCACCACGTCGGCGAAAAGGCTCTGTAGGACAAAGATCTTCTTCACCCCGTCCGTGGCGTCGATGCCCCCGGCGTACGGTGAGTACTCACCCGCCGAAAGCGTCGTGGGCACATTAATCATCGCGAACGGCGGCGGGTTCACGTCCGGCGGATCCGAGTTGGGGTGGTATTTGTAGTCGATGTCGTGCTGCATGGTGGCTTTGAGTTTGTCCGACATGGCGCCCAGCCCGGCCAGGTCATGCAGGCCGTTGGCGAGGGCGAGGCCGGCGAGCTTGACGCCGTCGGTGATGGAGCCGCCGCCCAGGGTGACGACGAGGTCCGCGCCGGATTGCTCTCTGGTTCAAGGGCGTAAGTACGCGGGTCAAAAGACAACAGCGTCGCCATGACTTGGCAGTTCATCCCGGGGGCCATTTTCGGGGCTCAAACGGGGGGGAAGCGGTGGACGACTCACATCTCCTTGGCCAATGCCAGAACATGCGTCCAGGGCGTATGGCTCGGGAACCCGACGTTCTTGCCCGCGAGCCTCGACCCCAGCGCATGTTCCAGCCTCGCCACACAGTCCGTGTGTTCAGCAAGCGAGCCCGACACGACCGCAAAGACGCGCTGTTTTCCCAATCTCTCGACATGGCGGGACACAAGTTCAGGGAAGGGCAGACCGGAGGATACCAGGCCCCGTTTGCGCCATGGGAAGGTTGGCCGGGTTGTTTCTTGAGGGGTGGTGATGGAGCCCATATTGTTGAGACTCCCTGGGTTGTTCGGACTACGATACACAATATGAAAAATTTGACTGGGGTGGGTGGCTGGTCAAAGCTACCGTTCGAACTCCTTCTCGTCACTGCGCTTTTGAATGTCCCCAAAAGTAGGAATCGCCCAGATTGAGCATTTGAGTTCCGGCGATGGGAAAAATGGTATTAGCGAAGCAATCGAATAGGGTTCAAGAGTAAATGTCCCCCGTGTCGTTAAGGGAACTCACTCATCAACATGCTGGACAAACACAACCTCCGCTTCGATGGAAGAATCCCTATTTTGCTTCCCTGACAGGTTGTCGATCGCCGTGGCGAGACGGACCTCCCAAGGCCCTCCTAGGGCACCGAGCTCAGGCGGTGATAGAGTTTTGTTGTCTTCGCAGCCAAGACGGCGTCTTGGACGCGTTGCGGGGTGGTGCGTCGGATTTGTAAGTGGCCTTGGGGACCGGACTCGCAGCAGCATGAGCCACGCATGTCACTGATGGGCACTGTGGGCGAATTCTAGCTAAAGGGAATATGATGCACTCTCTACGCGACTGGATTGATCGATGTAATACGATAGAAAGCGGATGAATCAAGGACTGGTGAATCAAGTTAAAGAGCAAAGCATTTCAGGAATCGTTCAACTTCGGCAGACGTTTGATTGTTTACTTGCAGCTGCGATAGTGGGATTCAGAACACCAAGGACACTCCATCAGCGGGGTGATAAGTGGTCTCTCCAGTCCTACCTAAAGACCTCAAAGAACTTGGTCTATTGCCTTTTCAATGTGCTGGGGGCCCTTTACCCTTGCTTCCAGATCTTCCTTCGTATTCTCTGCATCAGGGGATGCGAATCCACCTGTGCCCTCAACATACTGCTTGGTCTCCTCCCAAGATTCGGCAACCTTGTCCCCAAACACCCCCGCGAGTTCTTCAAGGGTCCTGCCCTTGGTCTCGGGATAGAAGAAGTACACGATGACGACATAGACGCAGTCGAGAACCAGCCAGATGATGAAGTACTTCCAAGTCATGGCCGCGATGGCGAGGGGCGCGGTCTGAGTCATGAGGACGCCCATGCAGTTGAAGACGATGTAGCCGCAGGCGACGCCGGTGGCTCGGATCTTGGTCGGCATGATTTCTGACGCGTACTGGAGGGGCGATAATGTTAGTACATCTGACCGACTGTCCGACGCTGGAATGCCATCAAAGCTCACAGTAGTCCCAAAGGTATTCATGATTGCCGCGTAGCCAAATACCGTGAGGTAGATGCCGACATTGATGCCCTTTGCTAATCCCAAATTCGTGTTTCCAGACTTCTCGAATGCTGCCCAAACTCCGACAATGATAATGGAGGCCGGGATCATAATGGCATACGAGAGGAACTGTAAATCCACACCCGGCGCGTTAGTAGATACACGTTGAGCTGAGCGGAGGGCGGTTGGTTGCGTTTTTTTTTTCACTTGTTTTGACTTGTTCACTTACCAGGGCGTTTCGACGGCCAATTCGATCGAACCAAAATCCGAGACTGAGCACGGCAAAGGTGGAGACAGTG